AGCTGAGATCCGGCCACTGCACTCCAGCCTGGGCAACAGAGCCAGACTCCGTCTCAAAAAAAAAAAAAAGAAAAGAAAAAAAGAAAAGATACCTGAAGATGTGGAAGCAGCTTTAGAATGGGTTAGTGGACAGACGTTAGAAGAGTTTGGAGGGGCCATAAGAGCATAACAACATCAGGAAAAATTTGGAACTTCTTAGAGACTGGTTAAATGGTTGTGACCAAAATGCTGATGGAAATGTGGAGAGTGAAGTTCAGGCTGATGAGGCCTCAGGTGGAAATGAGGAATTGTTGGGAACTGGAGTAAAAGTCACTTGTGCTACAATCTAGCAAAGAGCCTGGTGCATTGTTTCCATGCTGCAGTGATTTGTGGAAGGTTAAGAATGGTGCTTTGGGAGGCTGAGGAGGGCAGATCACGAGGTCGGGAGATCAAGACCATCCAGGCCAACATGGTGAAACCCTGTCTCTACCAAAAATACAAAAGTTAGCTGGGCGTGGTGGCATGCGTTTGTAATCCCAGCTACTGAGGAGGCTGAGGCAGAAGAATCACTTGGAACTGTGAGGCGGAGGTTGCAGTGAGCCGAGATCGTGCCATTCTCCAGCCTGGTGACAGAACTAGATTCCGTCTCAAAAAAAAAAAAAAAGGAATTTATAATTAAAAGGGTGCCAGGCATGGTGGCTCAGCTGGACGTGGTGACTCACACCTGGCTGAGGCAGGTGGATCACTTGAGGTCAAGAGTTCAAGATCAGCCTGGCCAACATGGTGAAACTCCATCTCTACTAAAAATACAAAAATTAGCTGGGCATGGTGGTGGGCGCCTGTAATCCCAGCTACTTGGGAGGCTGAGGAAGGAGAATCACTTGAACCTGGGAGGCGGAGGTTGCAGTGAGCTGAGATTGCACCACTGTACTCCAGCCTGGGTGACAGAGTGAGACTCTATCTCAAAAAAAAAAAAAAAGAAAAAGAAGAAGGGCCAGGCACGGTGGCTCACACCTGTAATCCCAGTACTTTGGGAGGCCGAGGCAGGTGGATCACGAGGTCAGGAGATCAAGACCATCCTGGCTAACACAGTGAAACCCCGTCTCTACTAAAAATACAAAAGATTAGCCAGGCATGGTGGTGGGTGCCTGTAGTCCCAGCTTCTCGGGAGGCTGAGGCAGGAGAATGGCGTGAACCTGGGAGGCAGAGCTTGCAGTGAGGCGAGATGGACCACTGCACTCCAGCCTGGGCAGCAGAGCGAGACTTCGTCTTAAATAAGTAAATAAATAAATAAATAAAGGGAGGCAGCCAGGCTCTGTGTCATGTGCCTGTACTCCCAGCTACTTGGAGGCCGAGGCAAGAGGATTGTTTGAGCCCAGGAGTTCTGGGCTGTAATGTGTTATGCTGATTGGGTGTCCATACCAAGTTTGGCTTCAATATGGTGACCTCCCAGGCGTGGGAGATTACCAGGTTGCCTAGCAGGGGGTGAACTGACCTAGGCTGGAAATGGAGTAGGTCAAAACTCCTGTGTTGATCAGGAGTGGGATCATACCTGTGAATAGCCACTGCCCACAAGCCTGAGTGACACAGTGAGACCCTGTCTCTGAAAAATCCATCAGTAAATAGGAAACACAGCATAAAAGTTTGGAAAAGTCACAACCTGGCAATGTGGTAGAGAAGAGAAGAGCATTTTTTAGGAGAGAAATACAAGCAGGCTGTATTGCCTTGCTAGAGAGGTTTGCGTGACTAAAAGAGAGCCAAGTGCTAACAGCCAAAACAATGGGAAAAAGGCCTTGAAGGCATTTCAGGAGTCTTCAAAACAACCTCCCCCATCAGAGGCTCTGAGGCATATGAGGAAAGAGTGGTTTCTTGGGCCAGATCCAGGGCCCTGTCTCTTGTTCAGCCTGGAGACACTGCTTCCCTGCATCCCTACTGCTCCATCTCCAGCCATGACTCACAAGGCCCCAAGTATAGCTTGGGCCACCACTCCAGAGGGTGCAAGCCATAAAATTTGGCAGCTTTCATGTGGGATTAAGCCTGTAGGTGCACAGAATGCAAGAGTGAAGGAAGCTTAGCAGCTCCCACCTAGATTTCAGAGGATGTGTAGGAAAGCCTGGCTGTCCAGGCAGAAGTTGGCTGCATGGTTGGAGTCCCTACAGAGAGCTTCTACTAGGATATTGCCAAGGGGGAAAGGTGGGGTTGGAGGCCCAACATAGAGTCCCCACCAGGGCGCTGACTAGTGGAGCTGTGAGAAGGGGACCCCTGCCCTCTAGACCACAGAGTGATAGATCTGCCAGCAGATTGTACCCTGAGCCTACAACAGCTACAGGCACTAAACTCCAACCTGTGTGAGGAGACATTGGGGCTGGACTCTGCTACCCAAGACTTTGGGAGCCCACTCTTTGCACCAGTGTGCCCTGGATGCAGGACATGGAATCAGGGATTATTTTGGAGCTGTATTTGTTTTTTTTTTTTTTTTTTTTTTGAGACAGTCTTGCTCTGTCGCCCAGACTAGAGTACAGTGGTGCAATCTTGGCTCACTGCAACCTCTGCCTCCTGGGTTCAAGCGATTCTTCTGCCTCAGCCTCCTGAGTAGCAGGGATTACAGGCACCCACCACCACGCCTGGCTAATTTTTGTATTTTCAGTAGACACGGGGTTTCACCATCTTGGCCAGGCTGGTCTTGAATTCCTGACCTCGTGATCCACCCACCTTGGCCTCCCAAAGTGCTGGAATTACAGGTGTGAACCACTGCGCCCGGCCAGAGCTTTAAAGTTTAATGTCTCCTTTGCTGTGTTTCAGACCTCTGTTTTTTGTTTTTGTTTTTTTTTTCTTTAGACTGAGTCTCGCTCTGTCACCCAGGCTGGAGTGCAGTGGCCCAATCTCCGCTCACTGCAAGCTCCGCCACCTCCCAGGTTCACGCCATTCTCCTGCCTCAGCCTCCCAAGAAGCTGGGACTACAGGTGCCCGCCACCACGCCTGGCTAATTTTTTTGTATTTTTAGTAGAGATGGGGTTTCACCATGTTAGCCAGGATGGTCTCGAACTCCTGACCTCGTGATCCGCCCGCCTCGGCCTCCCAAAGTGCTGGGATTACACGCATGAGCCACTGCACCCGGCCAGACTTCTGTTAAGCCTATTATCCCTTTCCTTTGGCAGATTTCTCCCTTTTATTTTATTATAATTTTTTTAAATTGTTGTTGTTTTGTTTTTTTGAGACAAAGTCTCACTCTGTTGCCAGGCTGGAGTATAGTGGCGCAATCTTGGCTCACCGCAACCTCTGCTTCCCGGGTTCAAGCGATTCTCCTGCCTCAGCCTCCCAAGTAGCTGGGACAACAGGCACAGGCCACCATGCCCAGCTAATTTTTGTAGTTTTAATAGAGATGGGGTTTCACCATGTTGGCCAGGATGGTCTCAATCTCCTGACCTCATGATCTGCCTGCCTTGGCCTCCCAAAGTGCTGGGATTACAGGTGTGAGCCACTGTGCCCAGTCATCATTATTATTTTTTGAGATAGAGTCTTGCTCTGTCCAGGCTGGAGTGCAGTGGCACAATCTCAGCTCACTGCAACCTCCACCTCCCAGGTTCAAGCAATTCTCCTGCCTTAGCCTTCGAAGTAGCTGGGGTTACAGGTGCCTGCCACCATGTCCAGCTAATTTTTGTATTTTTAGTAGAGAAGGGGTTTCGCCATGTTGCCCAGGCTGGTCTTGAACTCCTGGTCTCAGGGATCCTCCTACCGTGGCCTCCCAAAGTGCTGGGATTACAGATGTGAGCCACCACACCCGGCCTATTTTATTTGTTTGTTTTTTTGAGACACATTCTCACTCTGTTGCCCAGGCTGGAGTACAGTGGCACAATCTCTGCCTCCTGGGTTCAAGAAATTCTCCTGCCTCAGCTTCCCGAGTAGCTAGAATTACAGGTGTGTGCCACCACTCTCAGCTAATTTTTGCATTTTTAGTAGAGATGGGATTTCACCATGTTGGCCAGGCTGGTCTCGAACTCCTCAAGTGATCCACCCGCCTTGGCCTCCCAAAGTGCTGGGATTACAGGTGTGAGCCACTGCACTTGGCCTTTTTATTGAAACATAAAATTAGTCAATTGAATTTTGCAGTAATTTCTGTAGTTATTAAACAGGCTATTGAATCTATCCACAAAACTTAAGATACTTAACAACAGGGCTCCAAATAGCTTAAGTGCCAGCTCTCTGATCTCATGGCTAACAACCTGAGATTTCTGCCATCTGGTCCTCGCTCAGGACCTTTGCACTTAAACTGTTAAACACCACCCCCCGCTCCTCCCCCCCTCCAGGTCTCGCTTCTATCTGGTTTTTGTTCAAATGTTGCCTCTTCAGAAGAGGCTTCCATTATCAAAATAGACTTGCTCTCATTTCCCATCCCTTTATTCTGCTCCATCGTTCTTCATTATGCTGGCCACTATCTCAAAATATCTTTTATTTTTTATATTTATTTATTTTTGAGACGGAGTCGCTCTGTCGCCCAGGCTGGAGTGCAATGGCACGACCTCGGCTCACTGCAAACTCAGCCTCCCGAGTTCAAGCGATTCTCCTGCCACAGCCTCCCGAGTAACTGGGATTACAGGCGCGCACCGCCACGCCCGGATAATTTTTGTATTTTTAGTAGAGACGGGCTTTCACCATGTTGGTCAGGTTGGTCTCGCACTCCTGACCTCAGGTGATCCGACCGCCTCAGCTTCCCAAAGTTCTGGGATTACATGCGTGATCCACCGCGCCCGGCCTCAAATTATCTTTACTCAGTTAAATGCTTTTATTGTCTCTCCCAGTACAGTGTAAGCCCTAGCAGGAGAAGACTTTGCTTTAATCACGTGCTGTAGCCCCAAAACCCAGACAGTGCCTAGCACACACGAGATGCTCGATGAACAGTTATCGATTGACTAGATTAAACATCAACGCAATCAGGCCATTCACTTAGGGACTCTTTGCTAGTCGGCGGAGAGGTACATTATAGTTCCCTACGCAGAACGCATGCGCGCAAGATCCGGGAAGTGTGATTGGAAAGGGGCGGAGCATCAGGGAGAGCCTCGCGGACATAGGCGGTTTGGAGCGGAAAGCGAGAGGTGGAGGGGCGGCTTGGGGCTAAGCGCGCGCGCGCAGTGCAGACGCCAGCTCCCGGCGGTTGAAATACTCAAGGTGCCCGAAGGCGGGGTGGTGACCTCGCGCGTGCGCTGTTGCCGCGGCGGCGCCGGGTCCCAGCGTGTGGGTTGAGCTTGGCCTCGCGCGGCGCGTGCGCAGTGCAGACGGCGGAGGGATTTGCGGCCGGGACCCACCCCCTGCTCCAGTCGCTAGCCGAGGCCGCGCGGGTTCCTGAGCAGCGGCCTGGTGCGCTCGCTGCGCGGGCGACGGAATCAGACGGACGCGGACGCCCCCAGAGTGGAAGCCCAAGCAGGAGCTGTTGTTGCTGAGGGGCCGCCGCAGCCGCCGCGAGCCTCCGGACAGACACCAGAGCTAGGAGGGCGCTGCGCGGCGAGTGAGTGTGACTGAGTGGCCCGACGGGGAGCGGGGCCGCTACCCAGAAGCCCCAGCGGTGGGCCCGGGCCTCTTCCCCGCGGCCAGGCCCCCTTCCCGCGTCCTCGCCACAGGTCACTTTTGCATCCCTTTCTCGGACCCCGAGTTCTCTGGGCACCCACGCCCGGTCCCCACATCGCCCTCGCGGTTCCCTACCCACAGGCCCTTGCGGTGTGTAGCCTTTTTTCTTTTTCGTTTTTCTATGTTGTCCTGGACCCTTACCCATAATTCCTTTCGTCTTTGCGGGGCCCAGATCTGTTACCCACAAGCGCTTGGTTTTGGGGCTTCGCTCCTTATGTTTCTCTTTCTTTGCTCGGAGACTTCCGACCCCCAGGCCCTTGCAAACTGCGTCTAGTAATTTGCTGTCCACGGTACGGGACGAGCAGCCACAACTGCCCTGGGCCTCCCTCCTCGGGTCTTTGATTCCCCCAGAAATTCCCAGGCAACCTCTCCGCCCCACAGCTCGTGTCTCAGGACTCTGAGACTTCACTACTCAGGAACCCTTTTTCAGCCTTTATTTTTGTGTCTTTTACCGGCCTTTCACCTCCACCTCCAACAAGACTTTTACCCTTTTCTCCGTAACACAGGACCGTTCTCTGCCGTTACAAAGCCTGTTTTAATTCCGAGACTTTTCTCCTTTCTTTCTTACTTTGAGAGTCAAGGAGTAATAGGGGCTTTCTCTGCAGACCCGATCTAACCTAAGGCTGTCCTGCTTCTGCTCTCAGACTTGGCAAGATGACCCAGTTCCTGCCGCCCAACCTTCTGGCCCTCTTTGCCCCCCGTGACCCTATCCCATACCTGCCACCCCTGGAGAAACTGCCACATGAAAAACACCACAATCAACCTTACTGTGGCATTGCGCCGTACATTCGAGAGTTTGAGGTGAGTTCACTGAGCAGGCCAGGAATGGTTTGGGTTCTGGGGAGCAAGGGGTTGGATTTGCGAGTCCAGCCTCTGACTATTTTGCTAGCTGTGTGATTTAAGCGAGGGGCTTAATCTTTGTGATCCTCAGTTTCGCTGTTTTAAATGGGGTTGCAGCCGGGTGCCGGGTGTGGTCGAGTGCAGCAGTAGTTCTAGCTACTCAGGAGGCTGAGATGGGAGGATTGCTTGAGCCCAGGAGTTGGGGACTGAAGTGCTCTGTGATTGTGCCGCTATACTCCGGCCTGGGTGACAGAGCAGGACTTTGTCTCTCAAAAAAAAAAAAATTTTTTTTAAAGTGGGGTTGTGGCCCAGTGCGGTGGCTCACGCGTGTAATCCCAGTACTTTGGGAGGCTGAGGCAGGTGGATCACCTGAGGTGAAGAGTTCAAGACCAGCCTGACCAACATGGTGAAACCCCGTCTCTACTAAAAATAACAAAAATTAGCCGGGCATGATGATGCCTGTAATTCCAGCTCCTTGGGAGGCTGAGGCACGAGAATCACTTGAACCCAGGAGGTGGAGGTTGCAATGAGCTGAGATCGTGCCACTGCACTCCAGCCTGGGCAACAGAAGAAGACTGTCTCAAAAAAAAAGTAGGGTTTGATAGTACCCCTTTTGTAGAATTTTTGTGAAAATTCAGTGAGTAGTGGTTGAAGATTGGCACTTAACCCGCACCATTTATCAGCTCTGACTTTGGGCAAATGTTGTATCCTCTTCATGCATTGGTTTCTTTATCTTTAGCAAGGGGATAGTGGTAGCACCCTCATAATGCTGGAGAATTAAATGGCAAAGTGTATATCAGGGGCTTGGCACCAACCAGTCAGCACGTGTCAGCCTTTGTTACTTTGTTTACTGTTTTTATTGTTAATAAGATGATGTTCATAAAGACTTAGCACCCAGTATTGAGTATTGGAGGACTTAAAACTGCAGATGGGGATCTTAGCTCTGCACCTTCGGGGTAAATAGGAATGAATGACTTAGGCTCCTGGACCTCTGTGTTTTTATTTGTGAAATGGGATGACAAAGGTCTTCTCCTAGGTGCATCAGAGCACACCTGAGAAAAACTGGCACATAGCCAGAAGTTACAAGAACATTCTGGCATTGCGTAGGGAAGGGCAGCTGGAGGCGAGGGAGTTGCACAGCAGAAGTTCATAGATAACAGAAAGGTGTATCTTCAGTGGGATTTGCCACCCTTGGTGAACCCGCATTTGAGAAGTGTTACTGGCCAGTTAAATTAACTTAATGGGCACAGGCGGTGGTAGGTGCCCTTTGATGATGCAGGTCATGTGCCAGTTTCTATTTATTTATTTATTTATTTGAGAGGGAGTCTTGCTCTGTCGCCCAGGCTAGAGTGCAGTGGTGCGATCTCAGCTCACTGCAAGCTCCGCCTCCTGGGTTCACGCCATTCTCCTGCCTCAGCCTCCGGAGTAGCTGGGACTACAGGTGCCTGCCACCACGCCCGGCTAATTTTTTGTATTTTTAGTAGAAACGGGGTTTCACCGTGTTAGCCAGGATGGTCTGGATCTCCTGACTTCGTGATCCGCCCACCTTGGCCTCCCAAAGTGCTGGGATTACAGGCGTGAGCCACCGTGCCTGGTCTCAGTTACTAGTTATTTATTTTTTTTTTAATTTTTTTTTTTTTTTTTTTTTTTTTTTTTTTTGAGACGGAGTCTCGCTCTGTCGCCCAGCCCAGGCTGGAGTGCAGTGGCGCGATCTCGGCTCACTGCAAGCTCCGCCTCCCGGGTTCACGCCATTCTCCTGCCTCAGCCTCCCGAGTAGCTGGGACTACAGGCGCCCACAACCGCGCCCGGCTAATTTTTTGTAATTTTTAGTAGAGACAGGGTTTCACCGTGGTCTCGATCTCCTGACCTTGTGATCCGCCCGCCTCGGCCTCCCAAAGTGCTGGGATTACAGGCGTGAGCCACCGCGCCCGGCCACTAGTTATTTATTTATGAGACAGTTTTGCTCTGTTGCCCAGGCTAGAGTGCAGTGGCGTGATTTTAGCTCACTGCAACCTCTGATTCAAGCAGTTCTCCTGCCTCAGCCTCTCAAGTAGCTGGGGGTACAGGGATGCGCCACCACGCCTGGCTAGTTTTGTATTTTTAGTAGAGATGGGGTTTCACCATTTTGGCCAGGCTGGTTTCGAACTCCTAGCCTCAGGTGATCCACCCCCCTTGGCCTCCCAGAGTGCTGGGATTACAGGTGTGAGCCACCATGCCTGGTAGCCAGGTACTTTTTTTTTTTCTTTTGAGACGGAGTATCGCTCTGTTGCCCAGGCTGTAGTGCAGTGGCACGATCTTGGCTCACTGCAACCTCTGCCTCCTGGGGTTCCAGGGATTCTCCTGCCTCAGCCTCCTGGGTAGCTGGGATTACAGGCATGCGCTACCATGCCTGGCTAATTTTTGTATTTTTTGTAAAGGGGGTTTCACCATGTTGGTCGGGATGGTCTCAAACTCCTAACCTTGTGATCTGCCTGCCTCGGCCTCCCAAAGTGTTGGGATTACAGGCGTGAGCCACCGCACCCCACCAGCCAGTTCCTATTTAATGTGTAGTTGGTGAGACCTTGAAGAACTGCCTTGGCCCTCAGAGGGTGTGCAGTTGTGGGCTTTGGAGCCCTGTTCTGTCAGCTCATGTTGTTTCAGGCCTGGTCCTCTTCACTGGCACTCATCAGCAGGGCCTTGTCATCACTCATTCCCATCACATCCTCTGGCAGTTTGTTCAATGCAAGTGATACTTGGAGCTGTGAGAAGCAATGTGTTTTCTAAACACTGTATTCTTAAGCTAGATGTCACCCGTACCAGTGCTTTTTAAACTGTTTTTGGTGAAGGATAGATACTATTTCCAATCTGTTTGCTTTTGGTATATATGATAGAATTACTTTTTAAAGAAAGACCTCAGACAGGGGTTCGAGACCAGCCAGGCCAACATGGTGAAACCCCCATCTCTACTAAAAATGCAAAAACTAGCCAACATGCTGTCGTGTGCGTGTAAGCCAAGGTACTCAGGAGGCTTAGGCAGGAGAACCGCTTGAAGGATTCTAGTCGGTTCCTGGGTTCCTTTTAGAGACACAGAAACACAGAGGGGAAAGTGGGGTTTAGAATCGCTTGAACCCGGGAAGCAGAGGTTGCAGTGAGCTCAGATCGCACCATTGCACTCCAGTCTGGGCAGCAGAGCACGACTTCGTCTCAAAAAAAAAAAAAAAAAGACCTGCAGAATAAAAGACCAAATTTATATTACAGTCAGTGGACATCAAACTGTGAAATTATTGTAGAAGTTTCTGAACACTTACTCATGGTTTCTGTACTTACCTGTACTTATCACAGTCCAGCAACAGTTTGGATAGTACTGGTCCATGGACCATGCTTAGTTTTTGAGACAGGGTCTTATTCTGTCACCCAGGCTGGAGTGCAGTGTCACAATCATGGCTCACGGCAGCCTTAACCTCTGGTGCCCAAAAGATTCTTCCCCCCTCAGCCTCCCTAGTAGCTGGGACTATAGGTGTGTGCCATTACACCTGGCTAATTTTTAAATTTTTTGTAGAGATGGTGTTTCACTGTTTCCCAGGCTAGTCTGAAACCCCTAGGCTCAAGCATTCTTCCTGTGTCGTCCTCCCAAAGTGCTGGGATTACAAGTGGAAAGCCACTGTGCGTGGCTGCAGACCATGCTTTGATCTGTGCCACTCCCCTCCCTGCACTGTGACAGGGGAAGTGTGAGTGGATGTTTATTTTTGTAGGGGGTGGGGGTGGGAGGGTTGACCTGCTTATTTCTTTGGTGAGTGACCCTTGCCATTTCCCCTAGTCCTTCCCACCCTGTCACCTCTCTTCTTGTTCCCAGGACCCTCGAGATGCCCCGCCTCCAACTCGTGCAGAAACCCGAGAGGAGCGCATGGAGAGGAAAGTATGTCATTGTTGCTTCCTGACCCCCTGTTTTGCCACTGTTTCCAAATGGTCCTTGACACTAGGACACTTCTATCTGCATTTACTTCTCTACTTTCCCTTTCTCTTGACAGAGACGGGAAAAGATTGAGCGGCGACAGCAAGAAGTGGAGACAGAGCTTAAAATGTGTAAGTCTCTCATCCACCATTCGGCTCTCTCCTCCCCCAAACCCTCTGTGTTCTTCCCAGGTCATACCCAGGACCCTGCTGTCACCCAAAGCCTGTTTTGCAGGGAGCAGGGTTGTTAGTTCATTTATTTAGCCCCTGCCACTTGGCAAGCACTGTTTTTGGTTTAGGCTTTTCAGCAGCAGAACATAGGGTAAAAGTTGGCAGGAAGGGAGACCCCAGTACCTTGGGCTCCTCCTGCAGGGGAGGACAGTTAAGGGACTCCCACAACCTAGCTGGGAGTCACAGGCTGAGGCGATGAGTTGTGGGCGAGTGGATCTGTCCTGGCTCTAACGTTAGCTTCTCAACCCTTGGGCTGAGGTTGTTCCATCCCCTCCACATAGAGGAGGAATTGGAGTACAAGACAGATATATTGTTGCCATTAAGCAAACTCATAAGAGGGTCAGATGTCAACTTCCAGTGGCTCTTTATTGTGAGGGTGAAAACTGTACAGTCACACGCAGCATAACAGTGTTTCAGTCAGCAGGGGACTGTGGGTGTGATGGTGATCCTATAAGATTATACCATATTTTCCCGAGTGCAGTGGCTCACTTCTGTAATCCCAGCACTTTGGGAGACCGAGGCGGGTGGATCATGAGGTCGGGAGTTCAAGACCAGCCTGGCCAACATGGTGAAATCCTGTCTCTACTAAAAGTACAAAAATTAGCCGGGCGTGGTGGCGGGCTCCTGTAATCCCAGCTACTTGGGAGACTGAGGCAGGAGAATCTCCGGAAGGCGGAGGTTGCAGTGAGCCGAGATCGCGTCCGCTCTCTGCAACCCAGCCTGGGCAACAAGACCGAAAATCCATCTAAAAAAAAAAAAATTATACCATATTTTTACTATACCTTTTCTATGCTTAGATACGTTTAGATGCACAAATACTTAGTATTGTGTTAGGGTTGCTGTAGTATTTGGTGTAGTAACATGCTTGGCCTCGGAGCAGTGGGACGCACCCTCTAGCCCGGGAGTGTTGTGAGGTATACCATCTAGGCTCGCGGAAGTGCCGTCTCATGTTTGCATATCGATATCACCATCAAATGACGCACTTCTCAGAACATGACGTGACTCTAGTGAGAAGACAGGTTTTCCTCCTATACCTGTGAACTTCAATGAATCCCTTTCCTCCAAATCCTGGAGTGCAGGGTTTCCTCAGGGTGCTTACACAGAAGTGTGACAGAGGCATCTGGTGGTGCACTCTTTGGACACTGGCTGTCAGAACGCTGCCTTGATGTCCTTCCTCAGATGCCTCAGAGGCATCTCAGAATCAGTGTCCAAACCACAGGGGTTTTCCCTTGCCGCCAACCTGGTTTCCTTTGGGTGTTTTCTCTGGGACGTAGACATTCAAGTGTGCTGGTCATGACCTCATTTTTTGCCATGCAATTTGTTTCTAACACCTTTTCTAATCCTTTGCTCAGTCTCTCACCAAGACCTATTTGTGTTACTTTCTAAGTGTCACAAACCTGACTCTTCTTTTTGTGTCTATCACCACCACCCAGGTCACCTCTTGCCTGGACAGCACAGTCACAGTCTGCTATAACTAGTTTACCTATGTCTTTTTTTTTTTTTTGAGAGAGAGCCTCGCTCTGTCGCCAGGCTGCAGTGGCGCGATCTTGGCTCACCGCAGCCTCCGCCTCCCGGATTCAAGTGATTCTCCTGCCTCAGCCCCCCAAGTAGCTGGAACTACAGGCGTGTGTCACCACGCCCAACTAATTTTTGTATTTTTAGTAGAGACAGAGTTTCAGCATGTTGGCCAGGATCGTCTAGATCTCTTGACCTTGAGATCTGCCCGCCTAGGCCTCCCACAGTGCTGGGGTTACAGGCATGAGCCACTGTGCCTAGCCCTCCCTGCCATTTTTTTTTTTTTTTTTTTTTTTTGAGACGGAGTCACACTCTCTCACCCGGGCTGGAGTGCAATGGTACTATCTTGGCTCACTGCAACCTCCACCTCCCGGGTTCAAGCAATTCTCCTGCCTCAGCCTCCTGAGCAGCTGGGACTATAGGTGTGCGCCACCATGCCCGGCTAATTTTTGTAATTTTAGTAGAGATGGAGTTTCACTGTATTGGCCAGGCTGGTCTCGAACTTCTGACCTTGTGATCCACCTGCCTCAACCTCCCAAGGTGCTGAGATTACAGGCGTGAGCCATTGCACCCAGCCTAGTTTATCTATGTCTTAACCAACCAAAATCCACTGTGGGTCTTTTTTTTTTTTTCCTTTTCTAGAAAAACTTTAAAATTGAGATGGGATCTCACTATGGTGCCCAGGCTGGTCTTGAATTCCTGGGCTCAAGTGATCCTCCTGCCTCGGCCTCCCAAAGTGCTGGGATTACAGGTGTGAGCCACCATACCCAGCCAAAAATGTTCTTTGAAGCGATTCTCCTGCCTCCTGAGTAGCTGGGATTATAGGCATGCGCCACCATGCCTGGCTAATTTTGTATTTTTAGTAGAGATGGAGTTTCTCTATGTTGGTCAGGCTGTTTTTGAACTCCTGACCTCAGGTGATCCGCCCGCCTCAGCCTCCCAAAGTGTTGGGATTACAGGCGTGAGCCACCACACCCGGCCAGAAATGCTTTTTAAAAACAGTTCCGCCCGGGCATGGTGGCTTACGCCTGTAATCCTGCAAGGCAGATGGGTCACCTGAGGTCAGGAGTTCAAGACCAACCTGGCCAACATGGTGAAACCCTGTCTCTACCAAGAATACAAAAATTAGCTGGATGTGGTGGCATGCACCTGTAATCCCAGCCACCTAGGAGGCTGAGGCAGGACAATCGCTTGAACCTGGGAGGCGGAGGTTGCAGTGAGCCGAGATCACGCCATTGCACTCCAGCCTGGGTGACAGAGCAAGACTGCGTCTCAAAAAAAAAAAAAAAGTTCCAGGCTGGGCACGGAGGCTCACGCCTATAATCGCAGCACCTTTGGGAGGCCGAGGCGGGCAGATCACCTGAGGTTAGGGGTTTGAGACCAGCCTGGCCAACATGGTGAAACCCTGTCTCTACTAAAAATATATATATATAAAAAACCAAACTAGCCAGGCGTTGTTGTGGGCTCCTGTAATCCCAGCTACTCGGGAGGCTGAGGCACGAGAATTGCTTGAACACGGGAGGCGGAGGTTGCAGTGAGCCGAGATCGCGCCACTGCACTCCAGCCTGGGCAATAAGAGCAAAACTCCATCTCAAAACAAACAAACAAACAAGTTCCAATTGAGGAATTTGGACACTGGATCATAGATGAGGTTAAGGAATTAGTAAATATTAGCTCTTTAAGATGTAATAGTAGCACTGTGGTTATGATGTTTAAAAGTCTTTATTAGAGACCAAAGTGGTGTGCTATCTTGAATTTCATTTAAAATAATTCAGCTGGTCGCGGTGGCTCACGCCTGTAATCACAGCACTCTGGGAGGCTGAGGTGGGAAGATCACTTGAGTGATCCAGGCTGGTCAGGAGTTCAAGTGGTGAATATGGTGAAATCCTGTCTCAAGTGAAAATATAAAAATTATCCAGGTGTGGTGGCAGGGGCCTGTAATCCCGACTACTTGGGAGGCTGAGGCAGGAGAATCACTTGAACTCGGGATGCAGAGGTTGGGGTGAGCTGAGGTCATGCCACTGCACTCCAGTCTGGGTGACAGAGCGAGACTCCATCTCAAAAAACAAAAACAAACAAATAAAAAACAACGCCGTGGGCTGTGGGAGGATAGGGATGAAACAAGTCAGGCCACATGTTGATAATGGAAGCGGGCTCATGAGAGTTCATTGTACTGTTCTCTACTTCCATTAAGTGCTTGAACTTCTCCATAATAGAAAAGAAATAAAAGAACGGATCAAGTTCAGTAGGGTTTCTGTGCCCTTCAGAGCCTTCACTCGTAACTATAGAAGCTTGCTGTGCCTTATCACAATGAACAGCTCCCGTCAAGGGGACCGTGCCTCCTTGCTGAGCACTTGTACTTCGTGTTACTGACTTCTCACAGCTTCCAAGTGCAGCGGGGGTTGCTACTCCCATTTCTAAGATAAAGAAATGGAGGCTTGTTGAGGCAAGCACGCTTACAAAGAGTGAGAGTTCGGAGATGGGACCTCGAGCACCTCAAAGCCTAATTCCCGACTCCACGGCCCAGTTCCTTTGAGTCTCTGCTCTGGGCTGCTCTGGGTTAAGATGAGCCCCTAACCAATGATTTCCTAAGGGAGAGGTGCTGGCAGGGCTCTGCACGCATACACAGGTGGGGCACTGCCTGGCCTTGGGTCTGTACTACCTTTTTTGAGCTTTCGTGCTCTGTCTTCAGGACTTGGGTACCATTGCTTTGCTGCATTTTCTTTTACGTTTAGGCACATTTGTGGCCCCCCCACCCCAGGTAAGCAAGCACTCCAGGAAACTCAGGCGGTGCGCTGGGGTGGTTTCCTTACGGCTGTCCTTCAGGAAGCTCAGCTGTTGTTTGGCCTTCTCTACCCCCCAACCCTGCAGCATTCATTGGTCCCACTGTAGTGTTCCGCAGTAACTGTTAGAATGCCTGCTGTCTGGTGTTGCTGGGTGTGTTCCTTTGCTGCTGTGACAACCTTCAGCTCCTCATTAAATATTAGCATCTTATGAGGCCTTTCCTAGCCTGCCTTATAAAATCACCTGTTTCTATCTCTGGTCATCTGATGTGATCATATGATCTCCTTATTTACTTCTTCCATTAGCATAGGAACCCCATGAGGGTAGACACCTTTTTTGTCTTTTTTTTTTTTTTTGAGACAGTCTCACTGTGTTGCCCGGGATGGACTGCAGTGGCGTGATCTCAGCTTACTACAGCCTTCGTCGCCTCCCTGGTTCAAGCGATTCTCTTGTCTTAGCCTCCTGAGTAGCTGGACCATGCCCAGCTAATTTTTTGTGTATTTTTAGTAGAGACGATGTTTTGCTATGTTGGTCGGCTGGTCTCGAACTCCTGGTTGCAAGTGATCCGCCTGCCTCCGCCTCCCAAAATGCTGGGATTACAGCTGTGAGCCACTGTGCCCAGCACCCTTTTTTTTTTTTTTTGAGATGGAGTCTCGCTCTGTTGCCCAGGCTGGAGTGACACGATCTCCACTCACTGCAAGCTCCGCCCCCTGGGTTCATGCCATTCTCCTGCCTCAGCCTCCCGAGTAGCTGGGACTACAGGCGCCTGCCGCCACGCCCGGCTAATTTTTTTGTATTTTTATTAGAGATGGGGTTTCACAGTATTCGCTAGGATGGTCTCCATCTCCTGATCTCGTGATCCGCCCGCCTTGGCCTCCCAAAGTGCTGAGATTACAAGCATGAGACACCGCGCCCGGCCAGCCTTTTTTGTCTTGTTTACTGCCAAATCCCCAACAACTATAATATTTCCAGGCACATAGTAGATGCTTAAGAGTTACCTATTTACGGCCGGGTGCAGTGGCTCAAGCCTGTAATCCCAGCACTTTGGGAGGCCGAGATGGGCGGATCATGAGGTCAGGAGATCGAGACCATCCTGGCGAACACGGTGAAACCCCGTCTTTACTAAAAGGTACAAAAAAACTAGCTGGGCGAGGTGGCAGGCGCCTGTAGTCCCAGCTACTCAGGAGGCTGAGGCAGGAGAATGGCGTAAACCTGGGAGGCGGAGCTTGCAGTGAGCTGAGATCTGGCCACTGCACTCCAGCCTACGCGACAGAGCGAGACTCCGTCTAAAAAAAAAAAAAAGAGTTACCTATTTACAAAAGCACAAACATCGGCAAAAAAAAAAAAGAATTACTTTTGAATGAATGAGAGTTAGCTGGTGCAGGAAAAAAAAAAAAAAAAAAGCCAGTGCAAATTGAGAGACCTGGCCATAGAAAATTACAACGCTCAGGGATGTGGTATGGCAAGGAACTTTTTTGTTTTTTTTTTGAGGCAGAGTCTCGCTTTATTGCCCCAGCTGGAGTGCAGTGGCACGATCTTGGCTTACTGCAACCTCCGCCTCCCAGGTTCAAGTGATTCCCCTGCCTCAGCCTCCTGAGTAGCTGGGACTGCAGGCGCACACCTCCACACTCTGGTAATTTTGTATTTTTAGTAGAGATGGGGTTTTGCCATGTTGACCAGGCTGATCTCGAACTCCTGACCTCAGGTGATCCGTCTGCCTTAGCCTCCCAAATTGCTGGGATTACAGGTGTGATCCACCGAGCCCAGCCTGGCAAGCAACTTTGAGGAGTGGGTGGGGAGAACACCGAGATGGAGTTGTTTTCAGATATTTCCATTCGTCCCAGATAGCGATTCCCTTAAATTGTGGCTCAAGCTTCTGCTTTCTAAAACATCCCTTAGGCCAGGCATGGTGGCTGACGCCTGTAATGGCAGCACTTTGGGAGGCTGAGGCAGGTAGATCACCTGAGGTCAGGAGTTCGAGACCAGCCTGGCCAACATAGTGAAACCCCGTCTCTACTAAAAGTACAAAAGACTAGCTGGGCGTGGTGGTGTGTGTCTGTAGTCCCAGCTACTTGGGAGGCTGAAGCAGGAGAATCGCTTGAACCCGGGAGGCGGAGGTTGCAGTGAGCCAAGATGGCACCACTGCACTCCAGTTTGAGCACCAAGAGTGACACTCTGTCTCAAAAAAAAAATCTGATACTTTATTTCTCTAGCTTCTGGCAACACCCACACCGTCTTCCTGAAAAGGTAGCACTCGGGGTTCGGGGAAGGAGCCTGGTAGTTCGAGTGCCTGGGGTGAGAGGTGAAGTCTGCCTTGGCCCTTTGCCACTTTGACACCTCCCTTTTTCTGTGTCTCGAGTTCTGTTTTGCTTCCATTGGCAAAACAGTAATAAATAAATATCAGTGTCCAGCACTGTGTCTGGGCCATAGTATGTGCTCAGTAAATTTTATGCCTAGTGTTCCATTATTGGAATGCTAAGCTTGTGGGAGTTATTTACATCCTGCTCAGGGTCATCGCCAGGGTCTGATTTTTCGCACGTCTGCAGTTCAAACAATTGCAACCTCTGGGTTAATGTTACTCCTTTTCTCATACTCTCCCAGAATGTGACAGGGCTTCTGAGGGGAGCCCTATGCCATGGAAGAACCAGCAGAGTGTCCTTAAGGCCCCGGCAGGAGTCAGGGTCGTTATGTGCTGGGGCCGCCATATTTGGTGAAAAGGACTTATTCCCAGGCCTCACTCAGCAGGATCACTATGGAATTGGTTTCTCAGGAGATTCCTGGCTCTTTTCTTTGGAGATTGTTATTCCTTAGTCGCCAGGTAGGACAGTTTGCCTCACAGCGAGGCTGGAGTGAGGATCTAATCTGATGCTCGTCACTTCCTGGGTTCCTTTTAGAGACACAGGGCACAGACGGGAAAGCAGAGCTTACTTAGCTTTTGCTCTTCTGGCTCTCATTCGCAGCCCTGGGGTGGCTTGGTCTCAGGTTTTCCTGTGGGCTGTAGTTGCAGTCTGTGTCCAGTGGGTGGCAGTGTGGCCCTGCCTACAGGAAGGACCTTTCCCTCCCTTTCAGGATACGATCCCTCCTTCAGGTACCCCCAGTTCAAACACCCTGACCCACTCCACTTACTCTTTTGATGGGTCCTGGGGGCATCAGCTGCATTTCCAGGGAGGCCCAGTTGGGCTGTTACTGTTTGGATCACCTTGCATCTGGGAGCGATGGGGCCCTTAGGGTTTATGTAGGTCTGAAATGGCAGTTGGGCCTGCCACATCCTGTCAGCTTGAAGTCAGCCTTACCTCCTCCCCTCAGCAGCCTGGATTATCTCTCAGCCACTCTGATAAAGCCCACTGTGCCTCAGAGAAACAGGTTCAGAGAGGGGCGTGCCTGAGGTTGCCAGGTCACCACCCATGTTCCTCCAGCTAGGGGCCTCTCTCAGTGCCACTGTTTTCTTCTTGGCCTCTGCCCATCGTATTTGTTTTCCTACCTGAGACTATGGACACTTTCAACTTACAAAATTCCCTTCTTCCTGCACAGGGGACCCTCACAATGATCCCAATGCTCAGGGTGATGCCTTCAAGACTCTCTTCGTGGCGAGAGTGGTAAGTCCCCAGTTCCTAGCTCCTGGAACCCCACGCTGCTGAGAGCCTGGGTCTGGCCCAAAGGGCAGATAGGCTAGGTACTGGGGAATGTTCCAGGAGCTGTGGGACAGCTCTGTTCTCCCATTTAACGTCATACTCATCTCCTTGTAGAACTATGACACAACAGAATCCAAGCTCCGGAGAGAGTTTGAGGTGTACGGACCCATCAAAAGAGTAAGTGGAGTGGGATCAGGGTGTTTGAATTGGGGGTGCATGGAGGAGGGGCCGTATCCTAAAAGGGAGGGAGAGAGGTCCCAGCCCTGAGCATGGCTCACAGCATTTCAGGGCCTGGGTTTGTGCATCCTGACTGTATTTCCATGCAGCAGACCTTGGGTAGCAGAAGTAAAATGAGAAGTAATGACTGCTGGTGGTTGATTGAGAGCAGGGGTTGGCAAACCGCAGACTCACTGCTTGTAATAAAGTCTTCCTGCTGCGCAGCCAGGCAGGTCTGTCTGTTTACACATTGTCTTTGGCTGCTACTGGTTGTAAGGCAGGGTTGGGTTGTTGCAAGAGTATGTGGCCGTCAAAGCTGGAAATATATACTCTTTGCGTCTTGGCAGAATATGTATGCTGAGTCTTGTTTTAGAGAAAGGCTTTGTTTTACCAATTTTCTATTTTTATTTTTTATTTTTTATTTTTTATTTTATTTTATTTTTTTTTGAGACGGAGTCTCGCGCTGTCACCCAGGCTGGAGTGCAGTGGCCGGATCTCGGCTCACTGCAAGCTCCGCCTCCCGGGTTCACGCCATTCTCCTGCCTCAGCCTCCCGAGTAGCTGGGACTACAGGCGCCCGCCACCTCGCCCGGCTAGTTTTTTGTATTTTTTAGTAGAGACGGGGTTTCACCGTGTTAACCAGGATGGTCTCGATCTCCCGACCTCGTGATCCGCCCGTCTCGGCCTCCCAAAGTGCTGGGATTACAGGCTTGAGCCACCGCGCCCAGCCCAATTTTCTTTTAAGTCACTTAAGTGCTGTGCCTGATTTCCTTTATCTAACATGGGAGACGCATGCCTTCCCTGGGCAGTAGTGAGGGCTTGAGGCCACCCTACACGAAAACTGATGTTAGCCATGTCTCCTCCTCCCTACTCTGTTTTTGATACATCTTTTTAAAATACTTATACATGTCAGGCCGGGTGCGGTGGCTCACACCTGTAATCTCAGCTTTTAAGGAGGCAGAGGCGGGAGGATAGCTTAAACCTAGGAGTTCCAGACCTGCCTGGGCAATATAGTGAGACCCCGTTCTCCACAAAAAGGGAAAAAAAATATTGTTGGGCCAGGCGTGGTGGCTCATGCCTGTAATCCCAACACTTTGGGAGGCCGAGATGGGCAGATCACCTGAGGTCAGGAGTTCGAGACCAGTCTGACCAACGTGGTGAAACCTGGTCTCTACTTAAAAAAGTACAAAAATTAGCTGGGCGTGATAGCGGGCATCTGTAATCCCAGCTACTCAGGAGGTTGAGGCAGGAGAATTGCTTGAACCCGGGAAGCGGAGGTTGCAGTCAGCCAAGATCGCGCCACTGTACTCCAGCCTGGGTGGCAGAGTAAGACTCCACCTAAAAAAAAAAAAGGGTATTGTAGGCCGGGCGTGGTAGCTCACGCCTGTAATCCCAACACATTGGGAGGGCAAGACAGGCAGATCAGCTGTAGTCAGGAGTCAAGACCAGCCTGGCCAACATGGCGAAACCCTGTCTCTACAAAAATACAAAATATTAGCCAATTGTGGTGTCTCGTGTCTGTGTGTGTGTTTGCATATATCTGTATATGCCTGTATATATGTGTGTATACACACACACACGTTGTTCTGCCCTGCGCAGTCCAGTGACAACCTTGGCCCCACCCGTGTCCCTCTGATCCCATTCGAGTCAGGAATCTCGGTTGTGTTTTGGAGGCTGTGGGGTCCCAGGTTCATCCATGATAGCGGTTGGTTGCCGACTGGTAGTGATGTGAATGGAGAACTAGCCATCCTTGAGGGACCAGCTCAAATGCTGTCACCTCCCAGAAATCTTCCTTGGTTCATTCTGGCCACCTCTGTCTCAACAGCCCTTCCTTGTCCATTGTTCTCCCTTACATGGTCCCCGAGGGGTCTTTCTGACATCCAGAGCTGACCCCATCTCCTCAGCGGTCGGCGTCCCTAGCATGTTAGGACATGTCCAGCTGTGACCATCTGACCTTACAGGACTCTTCCCCAAGCTGTGTGGCCTCATGGACCTCCACCCCACCCCCACCCCCCACCCCCCACCCCCCTTCTCTTGCTGCCATCCTCGGGATGGGACCCATCCCTCAGCATGCCACATTCTCTCAAGCCTTCCTGGCTGTGCACATGTCCTTGCTTTTTCTCTTAGAACTCCCCTGTCCCGGCCGGGCGCGGTGGCTCAAGCCTGTAATCCCAGCACTTTGGGAGGCCGAGACGGGCGGATCACGAGGTCAGGAGATCGAGACCAGCCTGGCTAACACGGTGAAACCCCGTCTCTACCAAAAAAAATACAAAAAACTAGCCGGGCGAGGTGGCGGGCGCCTGTAGTCCCAGCTACTCGGGAGGCTGAGGCAGGAGAATGGCGTAGATCCAGGAGGCGGAGCTTGCAGTGAGCTGAGATCCGGCCACTGCACTCCAGCCTGGGCAACAGAGCGAGACTCCAACTCAAAAAAAAAAAAAAAAAGAACTCCCCTGTCCCTGGCCAGGTGCGGTGGCTCATGCCTGTAGTCCCAGCACTTTGGGAGGCCGAGGAGGGGGATCATGAGGTCAGGATTTCAAGAGCAGCCTGGCCAACATGGTGAAACCATGTTGTATCTTTAGTAAAGATACAAAAAATAACCCAGGTGTGGTGGCGCGTGCCTGTAATCCCAGCTACTCGGGAGGCTGAGGCAGGAGAATCAGTTGAACCTCGGAGGTGGAGGTTGCAGTGAGCTGAGATCGTGCCATTGCACTCCAGCCTGGGTGACAGAGCAAGACTCCACCTCCAAAAAAAAAAAATCCCTGTGCCATTGGCATTCACAACTCCCTCCTGTTTCCCTAAGTCCATTTGTGTCCTCCTGACTCCACATAGACCACCCACACTGGCCCTTCGTTGCTCAACACCCTTCCCAGCTCCTCAGGGACTATGCTTCTCGGCCTGGCACTGGGGCGCTTGATGACCCTGGGCCTGCTCACCTTTGTGGCCTCATCTCCTGGGGCTCTCTGTCATCAGTACGTGAGCCAGCTCTGCCGAAGTGCATCCCCAACCTCCTGCCCTCCTGCCACCGGGTCATTGGACCTCTGGAGTTACTGCTTTTCCACCTGACAGGCTGACACCTCACTGTCCTCCTTCATCTGTCTTCTTTCTTTAGGTCTTAAGTGTCATTTTCTCCAGGAAGCCGCCTCTGTGCCCTCTGGTCCTACAATTACAACATAAGTCACTCAGGGCTCTTGAAGGACAGAGAGGGTCTGAGACCTCACCTGGCCCAGGGCCTGGTGCGCAGGCTGTTGTGGGGTTGGTGGGGTGGAGCCGCTCTGTGGCGGGACTCACCCCTGTCCCCATGCGCCCCACAGATACACATGGTCTACAGTAAGCGGTCAGGAAAGCCCCGCGGCTATGCCTTCATTGAGTACGAACACGAGCGAGACATGCACTGTGAGTACCTCCCGCCGAGCCTTGCCCTCTGACCCGCTCTCACTTCTCTGCTGCCCCAGCCCCTCCCAGTCTGTCCCCTCCCCCACCCTGCCACACCTGACATTAGCGGTGTCTCTCTTCCTCCTCCCTCTGTTTCTGATGTATCTTTTTTTTTTTTATATACGTGATTTTTAAAAAAAACCAAATCCCCCACAACGTGTGTGTGTGTGTGAACCTGGGGAGGTAAGTGTCACACGTTGAACCTCAGGGGCAAAGAGGGAACTGGGTGAGGGGCTGGGGCCAGTTGGAGGTGGGGGAAGGGGTCGGATTTTGGGGGAGCCTCTCCCCATTATTCCCCCCACTGAAGTTGGGGGTGGCCAGGTTGCAATGAGGACTGGCCTTTGAACCTGTCCTCTCTTCCCCCCCAGTAGAACTGGGGCTGGGCCACCCGACCCTCTGCCTCCCCAACCCTGGCCCCCCACCCTGTTCCTCAGTGGGCAGTGGGGTGATAGGCATGTTGAGCGCCTGCCCCTACAGTTCCAAAGCCCCCTTTGAGGCTGCCGCGGCGTCCACATGGGCAGGGATGGGTGGGGGAGGGTGGGCAGGGCTGCGGCGTGTCCAGGGGCCGCCGTATTAATTGATTGTTCTTATTGTCACTGCAGCCACCACGCAGCTGGCTTGCAGCTGATGCTTACGCTCCCCTTACAACACCTCAGTGTATGGTTGGTATAAGGGTTTGTATCATGGGTAAGATCACTCAGCACCGCACACCAGCCCAGCTTAGCCAGGCAGCTCAGGAGCAGCGAGGCGCCCCTCCTCCCGCCCCAGTCGCCCCCGCAGCCTCCCCGCACCCATGGCCCTTTCCTTGTTTGGGTGCCCTTTGTCCCTCCTGCCCCGATCCGTATGCTCTCCGAGAATCTTGCTGATCCCAGGAGGGGAAGGATGAACCCGGTAGGAAAGGCGGTGGCCTCTCCGCTTGGGTTCCACCCAGCCTCTGATGACCCAGCTTCGCGATGTCAGTGGCGAGGTGGCGGGAACACCGAGGGCAGGGCACCAGGCCAGGGCTCCACTGGAACCCTTCAGCCTTCCCTCCCTGCCCCCGTGCTTTCTGTGGGGCTGCTACTGTGCTGGCCCTGGAGAGTCTTTTTGGCTGCTAGTTTTGGGGTGCTCTGCGCCCTTCCTGTCTTCCTTACTGTGGTTGAGGCCTCCTGAGGGGGCTGGCTGTGGTGTCCAGCCGCTCTCCAGAGGTGGTCAGGAGCTCCCCAAAGTGCATGGAATTGGGGCTTGGGGTGTGGGAGGGACCAAGGGGTAGGCTGCCAGCAGCTGAAGGTGTCAGTAGGTTTTTACTAAAGAACCTTCCACTGTCTAGAGACTTGAGAGAGGGAAAGAGAGAGAGAGGCCTAGACGAACACAATCACATGTTTTCTTTGCTGTTCCTCCCGGGATGGGCCTCTTTTGGGGTTTGGGACTCTGAACCCGAGCGGGGTTCCTTCGCTTGACTTTGATCCTGGTCCTTAAATGCCTTTCCCCACTCCCCTCCTGTGGGTTCAGGGGCCAAGTGGCCCCTCCTCAGAGCACGGGCAGCACCGTCTCCTGGACCCCTGTGTGCCAGCCTCTGCAGACGCAGCTGGTGGGAGGGAGCATGGAGTTGGAGGTGGAGAAGTCGCGGGGGGTGGGCTATGTGCCTAGTTCAGTGTGACTTGGGGACTGGTGAGGTTGGACAGGTTTTTGAGGCCTCCCCAGCCTTCTTTGTAAATTCACACGAGATAGTCCAGGGCTTTCCAGAGCCCAGCTTGGATGATAATCCTCGTCTCCCCGACTCTAAGGCCTCCTTGAGATTTCTTTGGGGTCCACCACATCCTCTGCCTGTCTCCAGGTGGTACAGGAGATGTGGTTCCTCTCCCTCTCCTGGCTCCCTAGAACCCCCAACTTCCCCTCCCTGTAGCTTTAGCTGACCCCATGGTGGTGGGTGTGGGGTCTGTGCGCGTGCTCAGGTAAGCTTGGGGGCTCCAGGTAAGCGGTCCCGTGTCCCCCCCCGGGAAGCCCGCCTCCTCGCCAGGCCCCCAGGAGTTGCCGAGCCCCCCCCATCCCGCTCGGTTTGGACACCCGCAAGGCCGGCATCGGTAAATGGCACCTTTTTCTCTTCCTCTGGTTGTTATTTGGGGGGGAGCGGGCTGGGGCGGGGCAGGGTATTACGGTTGGTTGAGGACAGCCCCCTAGGCCAGGGCTGGGTGGGGGAACAGGGACTTTTTGGCCTTCCCGATAGCCCCACGTGATCACAGGCCAGGGCCTCAGGCTTGCCTTCTGCTGTGCACTACCCGAGAGCAGCAGTGAGCCTCTCCCCCATCTCCCCTCCACGACTCCCCTTTCCTGGCAGGCTCAGGCTGGGGTGCGCTCCCAGCATGTGTTGAGCCGGGGGTGTGGAGGGCGAGATGGGGCGGGGCTGGGGGGGAGGCAGAGTCAGTCATCTCAGGTAAGGCAGGGATTTTCAGTAGCACCGCACGGCTCCCCATGCTTCCTCCACTGCCCCTCTCCCCTGCTGCAGGGGCCCTACCAGGCCCCCTGGGAGTGTATAACCCGCCTCTCTGCTCCCTGCCATTTCCTGAAGATTTCTCCCACCCCCTTCTGGTTCATTTTCTGTTCTGATGTCTGTTCCCCCCACACTCACCCCCCTCCAAAAAAAAACAAAAACAGAAAAACCGGTGTGGTCTGGGGTGCGGAGCGTCCCAGCTGGGCCTCCTGCCCTGGCTTGGTGTCTCAGGGTGCATGCTTGGGGTTGTGGAGGAGCCCCCTCCCCCACAGCAGAGTCCAGCGTGGAGTTAACCTTCAGTTTCTTTGCAGCGATTTTGGCCGCCCTGGCGGGAGGGGGCTGTTCCATCATGTGGGAGAGGAAGGACGGGGGAGCCCAGGGGGTGGTGGGTGAGGGTGAACATCTCCCTCGACCAGGAGTGGTTGGGGCGCCGAGAGGAAGCAGAGGCTGAGATGGAGCAGGCCCTTCGCCGGTTTGGGAGAGGGTTGGTCTGGCTGTCAGTTGCCTGGCTGTCTGTTGGGCGTGTGCGTGTGGGTGATGATGGGGACACGGGGCGGGGATTCTGTAGACCCGGGCCTGTCCTGACTAGAGGACCCTCTGGGGACTCCTCCCCTCCCCCTCCCCACATCTGTTACAGCCGCTTACAAACACGCAGACGGCAAGAAGATTGATGGCAGGAGGGTCCTTGTGGACGTGGAGAGGGGCCGAACTGTGAAGGGCTGGAGGCCCCGGCGGCTAGGTGAGCACGTCCCGCCCTCAACGGGCTCTCGGGGACCCTGGACCTGGTGGCCTTGTTCTCCCTTCTTTGCTGCTTTCTGCTTCTCTGTCTCCTGCCGGCTCACGTCTCCCATCACGTCCTCATCTCCAGCTTCTCTGTTTCGTGGCCATCACATTTCTGACAGCCGCCTGTCTCCTCGTTCTGGGTTACTGTGAGGAGCAGGGGCACCAACCTTGAGAGGCCTGAGCCCACATGCTGGCGTCCCCACTTGCTTGCTGGGGGCCCCCTCTACCTGCCTCATTGTCCTCCTCTTAGTGGAAATAACCTGAGTTTGCTGAGCTCAGTGTACTGGGTGCCCAGCTTGGCAGTGACGCATGGTGGGGTTGTAAATGTCACTTGCTCATCTGCTTCTGCTGCTTGTTCTTGCTCTTGTTCGCTCTTTTACTGATTCAGCAAGTACCTATTTGATCACCAGCCCTGTGCCAGGCTTCTAGTCAAGAGCAACACAGAGGCAGCCTCTGCCCTCTGAGCCTCCTGCATTCAGTCTCCTCATTGTCGTTTGCTGTCTCAGGCAAGGTCAGTTTGGCTGCAGGTATCAGAAATAAACTTGAGCTTCCTGAAACATAAAAACATAAAAAAAGAAACATAATTCTGTTGATACAGAATTATGGGCATCCTTTGGAGTTCAGAGGTATGTGATGCCCATGGATCTAAGAGGACCTGGTAGCTGAAGCTGTTAAGAGCTGGGGCAGCCAGGCCAGGCACGGTGGTTCACACCTGTAATCCCAGCACTTTGGGAGGCCCAGGCGGGTGGATCACGAGGTCAGGAGTTCAAGACCAACCTGGCCAAGATGTTGAAACCCCGTCTCTACTAAAAATACAAAAATTAGGTGGCCGTGGTGGCGGGCACCTGTAATCTCATCTACCCAGGAGGCGGAGGTTGCAGTGAGCCGAGATCAAGTCACTGCATTCCATCCAACCTGGGTGATAGAGCAAGACTCTGTCTCAGAGAAAAAAAAAAAAGCTGGGACGACTCACCTGTGATGTGTGACGGCCCACAGCTTGCTTCTGCCTCCTTAGCCTCCATGCAGCTGGGTCTGTCCCATGCCTGTTTGCACTGGCCCAGCGTAGCATGCCACAGGCCCCGGCTTTACACTCAGTCCTGGACGGGTCTCTTGTTTCAAGGTGGGCACATCTGATTGACTCAATGTTGGGCCTGGGGTCCTGCTACTCAGGCATGCTTATTGACGACTGAATCCTGCAAAGCTGAGTGACAGTTGTCAGAGAAGATGATGATCCCTGGGCAGACACCCAGGCAGTAGTAGCCACTTGGGACTCCTGTCCTGCCTCCCAGCCCTGTGTCCTCGCTCTGGAGTCGCCTGTGCTAGGGAGACCACACTCTAAGCTGCTGAGCCTCTGAGTTTACCAGGCATGTTCTTACCCTACTCTGGTCTCTCCGGGGTGGAGTGGGTTCTTACAGCTCTGCTGTTTCCTGTTGGGGCAGGAGAATTCTGGAATCTCAACCTTTCCAGAATCTCAGAATCTTCTAGTTCAATTGCCATTCAAACTTTTTGTTGGTGTTAGCCAGTAACAGCTTGACTCGGTGCACCCGCAGAAATACTGTAACCTAAAGTTTGAGGAAACAGTTTTTTCTGTGTAGTAAGTATATAGTTGTATTTTATATTCTGCTGTTTTGTTTTTTAAGATGTTGGTTGCAACCCATCAGATTGATGATGTGACTCATTGCTGGGTCATGACTTGAAAATAGTAAAGGCTAGTCTAGCTGCTCTGTGCCTGTGACATGGCAGGTGCCTGGTCTGCTGCCAGCTTCCTATAAGAATGTCTCCCTGCAGCCTCTTTTCTATACAGAACTCAGCCCTGCCTCATGGAAGCTTTTCCAGGCAGTGTGGGATAGAGGAGCGCTTGGGAAGGCAGGTTCTGCAGCAGACGGCAGTGACGGCCCAGTTCTGCACCTTCCTTGCTGAGTCACTGTGGGCCAGTGACTTGATCTGAGATTGTTTCCCCATCATAACCATGAGGTTCCTTGGGGCTGTTCATCTATTCACTTGACACACACACATCCGCCTTTCTATACCAGCTGCAGCGCCAACTGCTGGTACCGTGAGCAAGAGCCGAGTGCGCCCACGGTCCCGGTGTCTTGCAGTCTGGTGGGAGAGGCAGGTAGGGGTCGACTCAGACAGGTAGCAAACCTGAAACTCCGGGGAAAGCATTTCTGCAACTGTGAGTACATAGGACTGTGAGGAGAGGCTTCTGGAGGAAGGGATGTTCCGGCTCGCCTTAAGGGTGAGTGGGAGTTCGCCAGAGAAGGAAGGGGAGACCAGTCCAGGGCAAGGAGAATGCGCAGACTCTGGGAAAGGCCTGGGACGCGCAGCCAGGGGCTGCGGCTCACACACTAGCGGGGCCCACTCGCTGCTTCTACCACCGGTTGACGAGGAGTTTGGACCTCAGGCTGGGGGACGCCACCAGAGGCTTCTAAGCCGATCACATTTTTGGGTGTAAAGAGCTTTAGCTTCGGGCTTGTGTGAGGATGAGGATGATTGGAAGGGAGGGATTTGAGGAGGCTGTGAAGTGCGCTGTGGTTAATATGATGCGCTTTGGGGTCAAATGTGGGTTCCAGTAACGGCTGTTTCCTAGCGAATGCCTTGTGTGAGTTACTTAAGGAAGATGTGGCTGTCTTGTGATGGGAGTGCACGGGATGAACTGCAGAAGGGGACCCGGCCCTGTGAACACTAAGCCAGGGGCTGCCTTTCTGCTCTTGGAGCCGGCTGATTTCTGCTCCTCCGGGCCCTGCCCCTGCCCATACTGACCCTCTTGTCTGTCTGCCCTGCCCAGGAGGCGGCCTCGGTGGTACCAGAAGAGGAGGGGCTGATGTGAACATCCGGCATTCAGGCCGCGATGACACCTCCCGCTATGATGAGAGGTAAGATTGGGCGACCGGGGTCCTGGGGTCGGGGGCGGTCACGGGGGGAGCCCGGCCACACAGGTCTGCCCACCTCATCCAGGCCCGGCCCCTCCCCGCTTCCGCATAGGGACCGGGACCGGGACCGTGAGCGGGAGCGCAGAGAGCGGAGCCGGGAGCGAGACAAGGAGCGAGAACGGCGACGCTCCCGCTCTCGGGACCGGCGGAGGCGCTCACGGAGTCGCGACAAGGAGGAGCGGAGGCGCTCCAGGGAGCGGAGCAAGGACAAGGACCGGGACCGGAAGCGGCGAAGCAGCCGGAGCCGGGAGCGTGCCCGGCGGGAGCGGGAGCGCAAGGAGGAGCTGCGTGGGGGCGGTGGCGACATGGCGGAGCCCTCCGAGGCGGGTGATGCGCCCCCTGATGATGGGCCTCCAGGGGAGCTCGGGCCTGACGGCCCTGACGGTCCAGAGGAAAAGGGCCGGGATCGTGACCGGGAGCGACGGCGGAGCCACCGGAGTGAGCGCGAGCGGCGCCGGGACCGGGATCGTGACCGCGACCGTGACCGCGAGCACAAACGGGGGGAGCGGGGCAGTGAGCGGGGCAGGGATGAGGCCCGAGGTGGGGGCGGCGGCCAGGACAACGGGCTGGAGGGTCTGGGCAACGACAGCCGAGACATGTACATGGAGTCTGAGGGCGGCGATGGCTACCTGGCTCCGGAGAATGGGTATTTGATGGAGGCTGCGCCGGAGTGAAGAGGTTCTCTCCACCAGCTGTGTTTGGACGCGTTCCTGCCCACCCCCTTGCTGTCATCCCCTCCCCCCAACCTTGGCCACCTGAGTTTGTCCTCCAAGGGTAGGTGTCTGATTTGTTCTGGCCCCTTGGATTTAAAAATAAAATTAATTTCCTGTTGACAGTGGGCACCTTGGTTTCTTCCTCACTGCTGTCCTCCCCAGAAGGTTGTCCCTGACTTTCGATAGCCCTGCTTGGTTTGGTTTCCAGGGAGTAGTTATAACTTGAGGGTTAGGACGTGAGGCTGGCTCTGCCCAGTAGCCAGAGCTGTTGAACGTCGGGGAGGAGGCCTCTCTAGGGCTCCTTGTCTCCCTTGGTTTTTCACTCTTTTCTTTTTCATCTCTGGCATACATTCCTCAGGGCTGACCATACCCCTGTCTTGGTCGGGGGCTGGGAATTAATTAGGAGGAGACTTGATTACTCAGGTGAAGCCGCAGTTTTGAATATGCAAGGGAAGCTACAATCTGCAAGGGAGAGCGGCATACATGGTGAGGAAAGGCAGAATGAACGCACTGGGCATGGGTGAGATGGGGCAGAGCAGGAAGGATGAACTCACATCATACTTAGTAGTGACAGGTGTAACGAGCAGAAACACAGAAGAGGTCCTACCAGCAATTGAGATTTCAAGCAAATTCCTGGACAAAAGATTAAAGCCATCGGTGGTGAGAACACTTCAGTCTGGTGAGTGCAGAGAAGGAAGCCAGTCAGCCTTGCAGAACCCTAGAGGGTCAAGGCTGCAGCTCCAGGAGAGCGAGGGTGGGAGGCCAAAGGCAGAGCTTGGTATAGAACAGTTGGCCTCCTTGTTGGCACTCAGGATGCCTGGGAGATGGGCTGGGGGGTGCCTAGGTAAACCAGCTTGTGTTCAGACCTTGCCTGTGTCTTTTAGAAGCATCTCAGCCTGAAGGCAAACTTGGCCTGGTAACTCAGAGGGTCTGTGACTGACACTCAGGATTTTGGTCTGCTTTTTAATGGTTTCAGTTTAACCAACTAAGGATACCCAGATATTTGAGGAAAAGCAGACCACAAGATAAACAGAAAATCTGACCCTGGAAGAAATGACTTAGGATTAAAAGAACTTCTTACCTCTAATTAGTATATTTCATAGATACCCCAGATACTGCAACTATAGACTTCTAGTATTGGCTACAAAAAGCCCATTTTGGACTCACATGGCACAAACTGGTTATATAAACGCTGGACAATAGGCAAAAACTTAGGAAAGGCGCCAGAGAGAGGCCAGCTTTGATGAGGCTTGAGGGGGTGTGATCCCTTAAAAGAACACTTACAGGTGTGTTTCGTGCTTAACCTTGCCTTTTCCTTGAGGATGTTTTGCCATTTAGCATGGGGAAGAGACTATCAGGCGGGACTGACTTCCACTGGGCCAAGTTCACAGAGGTTCAGCCAGGCAGCTGGGACTTGACAAAATAGGAGAGGAGGGCACTGAGCTCCCAAATCTATGTGCACCCTCCCTTAGAAGCATCCGCCAATTCAAGCTGCTCACTGTCTATGCAAGACCCCCAAGAAACTCATCAGAATGCAGTAACTGTGAGGCTAAGGAACTGGTGGCCTGGAGACTGCAGCAGCCATGCTGTTTTGGGGCAGACAGGTGATGGTTCAAGGCCCACCATGGTGGATTGACCCTGCTTGAGATGGCCAGGGTGCCTCAATGTCAGAGTAAGGCCATAACAGAAGAAATCAGACTAAGAGGCTGAGCGCGGTAGCTCACGCCTGTAATCCCAGCGCTTCAGGAAGCGGAGGTGGGTGGATTACTTGAGGTCAGGAGTTCAAGACCACCCTGGCCAACTTGGCAAAACCCCATCTCTACCAAAAATACGAAAAATTAGTTGGGCATGGTAGTGAGCGCCTGTAATCCCAGCTACTTGGGAGGCTGAGGCAGGAGAATCGTTTGAACCTGGGAGGTGGAGGTTGCAGTGAGCCGAGATGGTGCCATTGCACTCCAGCCTGGGCAACAGAGTGAGATTGCATCTCAGAAAGAATAAATAATAATCAGGCTAAGAAAGCCTAAAACCAGACTTTTTCAGGATTTAGGCAATCTTCTAGCCAGAAGAAAAGTCTGAAAGAAGATAACGTTCCGAGTCTCCACATGTACCATTTTTAGTACCCATTACTCAGCATCTACTCAATAGTTACCAGCCTTGCTAGAAAGGACTTAATTTGCTGAAAACCAAGAGGGAAACAAAATAGACAATAGAAAGAGACCCAGGCAGGGGTGATTCAGATGTTGGAGTTATAACTATGAGATATATTCACAAAGGAAGGAAAAGATGGAGAATGTTGAGATATCTGGAATCTAGCTACTTCAGAGGCAGAGGTAGGAGGATTCCTTAAGCCAAGGAGTTTGAAATTACAGTGAGCTATGATCACACCACTGCACTACAGCCTGGGTGATGGGAAGACCCTGCCTCAAAAAAAAAAAAAAAAAATCTGGAATCTAACCAAAAAATGGCAATTCTAGAACTAGAAAACAATTGAAATTAAGAATTAAGTAGGTGGTGGCCAGGCATGGTGGCTCTGTAAATGCAACATTTTGGGAGGCCAAGGTAGGAGGACCACCTGAGCCCAGGAGATAGAGACAAGCCTAGGCAACATGGCAAAACCCTTTTCTCTAAAAAAATACAAAAATTAGCCAGATGTTGGTGGTGTGTGCCTATGGTCCCAGATACTCAGGAGGCAGAGGTAGAAGGATTACCTGAGCCCAGGGAGGTCAAGGCTGCAGTGAGCCCTGATTCCACAACTGCACTTCAGCCTGGGCAACAAAGTGAGACCCTGTAACAACAAGAACAACAAAAAGTACCACACACACACATAAACACCACACACGAACACCACACACATGCCACACACACACACAACACACATAAAACACCACACATACACAAACACCACACACCACACAACCACACACACAAAAACACACACCACACACAAACCACACACACAAACACCACACACACACCACACAAAAACACACATAAACACACACACAAACACCACACACACCCCACACACGAACACCAAAACACACACAAACACCACACACACACAAACACACAAGTTTAGTAGACAACCGGGCACAATGGCTCACGCCTGTAATCCCAGCACTTTGGGAGGCCAAGGCAGGTGGATCACCTGAGGTTGGGAGTTCGAGACCAGCCTGGCCAATATGGTACAACCCCATCTCTACTAAAAATATGAAAGTTAGCTGGGCATGGTAGCGGGTGCCTGTAGTCTCAGCTTCTCAGGAGGCTGAGGCAGGAGAGTTGCTTGAACCTGGGAGGCGGAGGTTGCAATGAGCCGAGATTGTGTCACTGCACTCCAGCCTAGGGGACAGAGCAAGATTCTGTCTCAAAAAAAAAAAAAAAAAAAAAGTAGTTGGTGAGACACTAGATAATGTGGAGTCCTCCTTATAAATGCTAGAAATACTAGGAAAAATTGACTTGAACAAACTTTTTATTTATTTTTTTGGGGGTGGGTGGACGGAGTCTTGCTTTGTCACCCAGGCTGGAGTGCAGTGGCGTGATCTCAGCTCACTGCAAGCTCCGCCTCCCAGGTTCACGCCATTCTCCTGGCTCAGCACACGAATAGCTGGGACTATGGGCACCCGCCACCATGCCTGGCTAATTGTTTTTTGTATTTTTAGTAAAGACGGGTTTTCACCATGTTAGCCAGGATGGTCTCGATCTCCTGACCTTGTGATCCGCCCGCCTTGGCCTCCCAAAGTGCTAGGATTACAGGCGTGAGCCAGTGCGCCTGGCCACAAACTTTTTTTTTTTTTTTTTTTTTTTGAGAAGGAGTTTCACTCTTGTCCCTCAGGCTGGAGTGTAATGGGCGATCTTGGCTCACTGCAGCCTCCGCCTCCTGGGTTCAAGTGATTCTCCTGCCTCAGCTTCCTGAGTAACTGGGGTTGCACCACCACGCCTGGCTAATTTTTGTGTTTTTAGTAGAGACGGGTTTCACCATGTTGGCCAGGCTGGTCTTGAACTCCTGACCTCAGGTGATCCTCCCGCCTCAGCCTCCCAAAGTGCTGGGATTACAGGCAAGAGCCACCGCGCCCAGCCTCAAACTTTCTTGAAAGAGACATCTGACTACCTCTTTAGGAATAACTGAAGTCATACTTCACTAAAATGAAGGATTTACAAGAGGAAACTGGGTCTAATTCAGGAGATCGGTGGAGGGAAGTTCTAGGATGGCAGTTTCTAGACAGCAATTTGGTTCAGAGTCAGGTAAGAGGACTGAAGTTTCCCAAAAGTTTAGGGAGAAGATGGTAAGAGCAGAAAATCAATCTGTAATCTGTTACATCTAAATTGATAAATCAAGGGCCAGGTGCAGTGACTGATGCCTATAATCTCAGCACTTTGGGAGGCTGAAGTGGGCAGATCACTACTAAAAATACACAAATTAGCCAGGTGTGGTGGGGGGCACCTGTAATCCCAGCCACTCAGGAGGCTGGGGTAGGAGAATCGCTTGAACCCGGGAGGCAGAAGTTGCAGTGAGCTGAGATCGTGCCACTGTACTCCAGCCGAGGCAACAGAGCGAGACTTCATCTTAAAAAAAATTTAAAAACAGCCATGCACGGTGGCTCACGCCTGTAATCCCAGCACTTTGGGAGGCCGAGGAGGGTGGATCACGAGGTCAGGAGTTCAAGACCAGTCTGGCCAATATGGTGAAACCCCGTTTCTACTAAAAATATAAAAAAGTAGCTGGGTGTGGTGGCGCACGCCTGTAGTCCCAGCTGCTTGGGAGGCTAAGACAGAAGAATCACTTGAACCCAGGAGGCAGAGGTTGCAGTGAGTGGAGATCGCAGCCACTGCACTCCAGCCTGGGTGACAGAGAGAGACTCCACCTCAAATAGATAGATAGATGACGGATATATATATAGAGAGAGATAAATAGCATGTTACTTAGACACAGAAGCAGCTCTCAGACTAAACATCTGTAAGTTCCCTCTCGCAGTGAGTAGAGTTAGGAGAGGTACAGAGGCTGGTGCTTTTCACTATTAGCCTGTCTGTGTTATTTGATTTTGTTCTTAATCCCATAAAGACATTACTTTTTGCTAAAGAGAGAACTACAGTAAAGGAGCCAGACCAACCTACTTTAGTCCTCCCACTTGGAACAAGCCTTTTTCTGGACTCCATATCGCCACCCAGCGGAAACAGAACAGCAGCAGCCAGACTTCTCGAAAGAAAGTCTTGTCCACATCTCAGCCTCTCTAGCGCATGATACCACTGACCACTTCCTTTTATTATTATTTATTTATTTATTTAATTTTCTGAGACGGAGTTTCACTCTTATTTCCCAGGCTGGAGTGTAATGGCGCAATCTCAGCTCACTGCAACCTCCACTCTTGGGTTCAAGCGATTCTCCTGCCTCAGCCTCCCAAGTAGCTGGGATTACAGGCACCCGCCACCATGCCCAGCTAATTTTTTCAGTTTTCAGTAGAGACGGGATTTCATCATGTTGACCAGGCTGGCCTCAAACTCCTGCCTCAAGTGATCCACCTGCTTCAGCCTCCCAAAATGCTTACAGGCGTGAGCACCACGCCTAGCCTTACGTTTTTTTTTTTTTTTTTTGAGAGGGAGTTTCACTCTTGTTGCCCCAGCTGGAGTGCAATTGCACGATCTCGGCTCACCGCAACCTCCGCCTCCTGGGTTCAAGCAGTTCTCCTGCCTCAGCCTCCCCAGTAGTTGGGATTACAGGCACGCGCCACCACGCCTGGCTAACTTTGTATTTTTAGCAAAGACGGGGTTTCTCCATGTTGGTCAGGCTGGTCTTGAACTCCTGACCTCAGGTGATCCACCCACCTGGGTCCCCCAAAGTGCTGGGATTACAGGCATGAGCCACCACGCCCAGCTACACTTCTTTTTCAGAACGCTCTCAGGCAGGCACAGTGGTTCATGCCTGTAAACTCAACACTTTGGGAGGCTGAGGCAGGAGGATTGTTTGAGCCAAGGAGTTCAAGACCAGCCTGAGCAACAAAGACCCCTCCATCTAAAACAAACAAAAAGATAAAATTTAAAAACCTCTCTTCTCATGGTTTCTCCCACTTGGCTTTCTGCCTACATTTCAGGCCGTTCTCTGCTGTCCTCCTGACTTTTAAGTGTTAGAGAGGTTTGGGGACCAGTCCTAGGCCCTCTTTTTTTTTTTTTTTTGAGACAGAGTCTGGCTCTGTCGCCCAGGCTGGAGTGCTGTGGCCGGATCTCAGCTCACTGCAAGCTCTGCCTCCCGGGTTCCCGCCATTCTCCTGCCTCAGCCTCCCGAGTAGCTGGCACTACAGGCACCCGCCACCTCGCCCGGCTAGTTTTTTGTATTTTTTTTTAGTAGAGACGGGGTTTCACCGTGTTAGCCAGGATGGTCTCGATCTCCTGACCTTGTGATCCACCCGTCTCGGCCTCCCAAAGTGCTGGGATTACAGGCTTGAGCCACCGCGCCCGGCCTTAGGCCCTCTTAATATTCACTTGCCCCTGACATTCTTATCCACTCCTGTGGTTTTATTTACCACCTATGCCCCAATACTCAAACATGCCTGCAGACCAGGTTGCTCTTTTGAGCCCTAGACCTAGATCGATAGTTTCTCCCCATGGATTCTGCATAGGCTCCTCAAATTCAAAATATCCAGTATTGGTCAGGCAAGGTGGCTCACGCCTATAATCCCAGCACTTTGGGAGGCTGAGGTGGGTGGATCACTTGAGGTCAGGAGTTCGAGACCAGCCTGGCCATCATGGTGAAACCCCGTCTCTACGAAAAATACAAAAATTTGGCAGGCGTGGAGGTGCGCGTCTGTAGTCCCAGCTACTCAGGAGGCTGAGGCAGGAGAATCACTTGAACCCGGGAGGCAGAGGTTGCAATGAGCTGAGCTTGCGCCACTGCACTTGAGTCTGGGCAACAGAGGGAAGACTCTGCCTCTGAAAACAGACAAAATATCCAGTATCTCTCCTTCAGTGTAGATCATCTTAAAAATGGCACCAAAGCACCTCAATACTGTCTTCTCCTGCACCTCCCAATCCCCATATATAGCCAAGCACCAAGGCTTGTCCAGACATTTTCCACATCTGCCCACCCATCTTCTATGCCTTGGCCCTGGTGCCAGCTGCCACTGGGATGGCTGTGGTACCCTCCTAAACTGCCCCGTTGCTTCTCGTCTTGTTCTTGTCCAAACCAGTCTCCATAGTGGCTACAGTGATTTTTTTTTTTCCAGTAGATATGCAGTCTCACTATATTGCCCATGCTGGTCTTGAATTCCTGGGCTCAAACAGTCCTCTCGCTGCATGCAGCCTCCCAAAGTGCTAGGATTACAGGTGTGAGCCACTGCGCTCAGCCCAGTGATTTTTTTTTTTTTTTTTTTTTTTTGAGACAGGGACTCACTCTTTCACCCAGGTATAGTGCAGTGGTGTGATCATAGCTCACTCCTGCCTCGACCTCCTGGGCCCAAGCGATCCTCTCACCTCAGTCTCCAGAGCAGCTAGGACTACAGGCACACGTCACCAGGCCCAGCTAATTTTTGTATTTTTTTGTAGAGATGGGGTTTCATCATGTTGTCCACGCTGGTCTTAAACTCCTGGGCTCAAGTGATCCTCCCACCTCAACCTCCCAAAGTGTTGGGATTATGTGCTGGGATTACAGGCCTGAGACACAGCGCCCGCTCTGCCCAGAGTTTTTTTTTTTTTTTTTTTTTTTTTTTTTTTTTTTTTTTTTTTTTTTGAGACAGAGTCTTGCTCTGTCGCCCAGGCTGGAGTGCAGTGGCCAGATCTCAGCTCACTGCAAGCTCCGCCTCCCGGGTTTACGCCATTCTCCTGCCTCAGCCTCCCGAGTAGCTGGGACTACAGGCGCCCGCCACCTCGCCCGGCTAGTTTTTTGTATTTTTAGTAGAGACGGGGTTTCACCGTGTTAGCCAGGATGGTCTCGATCTCCTGACCTTGTGATCCGCCCGTCTCGGCCTCCCAAAGTGCTGGGATTACAGGCTTGAGCCACCGCGCCCGGCCTTTTTTTTTTTTTTTTTTTAAGCGATGGAGTCTCGTTCTGTCAGGCTGGAGTGCAGTTGCCATCTCGGCTCACTGCAACCTCCGCCTCCTGGGCTCAAGCAATTCTCCTGCCTCAGACTCTCGTGTGGCTGGGAGTACCGGCGCACACCACCATGCCGGCTATTTTTTTTTTTTTTGTATTTTCGTAGAGACGGGGTTTCACCATGTTGCCCAAGCTGGTCTCGAACTTCTGAGCTCAGGCTATCCGCCCCCCTCAGCCTCCCAAAGTGCTAGGATTACAGGCGTGAGCCACCGCGTCCGGCCCCAGTGATCTTAAAATACAAATCTGAGATCCAACCTAGGCGACAGAGCAAGGCTCCGTCTCAATAATAATAATAATAATAATAATACAAATTTGAGTGTCATATTTTACTCTTAGGAGTTTGCATGAAGCCCCAAATCCTCAAGGCGCATATGCCAACGCAGGAGCCCAGGCATAAACTGTATCCTGCCGGCCTTTTCACCTCATCATCAACCGATCCTAACTCTGCTTCCAGCCCTGTGGACTCTTTCTGCGTGGTGGGGGTGACCCAAGCTCCACCTCTTGTTCATCTTACCTCCCAGGACTGTATGTCAATGTCCCTGCTCTAGGATCTCCTTCGTCTTCTAGATCCTTACCTCCCCACTCTCAGCTCTCATTACAGCCGTGGCTGGTGGTCTACCTCTCCCATAGACTGGAAGCTCCGTTTGGGCCGTGGGCTTGGCTGCCCTGCTCACCACAGTGTTCATGCCTTGGGCCCAGATGTTTCACAGGAGTTTGTTGAATGAATGTGGGAAAAGAATGGACAGGGGATAGACAGGTGTGGAGGGCAGGCAGACACTGATCCTGAAAGAGAAACACAGACCGAACCTACAACGGGAGGAGTCGCCAACAGGACCGACTGGCCGGGACGGAGGGCAGGGCCGCGGGTGGCGCGCGGCAGGGGGGTCGGGACAGTCCGGCGCGGGGGAGCTGGGCGCTCTCCAGGCTGCGCCTCCGCAGGGGGCGCCCGTGGCCCGGGGCGTGGCCTCGCGCAGCCCCGCCCTCCTCGCCCGCGCCGGGGCAGGCGGGCCGCTGGCAGCTGTGGCGCCGACATGGCTGCGCTGGTGGAGCCGCTGGGGCTGGAGCGGGGTAAGCGCGCGCCAGGGGGCCCTGCCCACCCGGGCCGCGGCCTGCATACCCAGCCCCCGGTCCCCGCCCTTCCCAGGCCAGGCCAGTGCGGGTGGGCCAGCGGACCCGGCGGGGTGGGCGGGGCGGGCGCCGGGGCCGGGCGGTCGCGGGGTGTGGGAGGCTCCCTGAGCCCAGGCCGGGGCGGGGGGCGCCCGCCTTACACCCCGGCCTGTGGAGGGGTCCTGGGGCTGCAGGGCGCCCGGCTGGTGGCGGTCTCTCCTGCGCCACCCTGGACTCTGCGGGGTGTCCGACTGGGCTTCGGCGGTCCTCCCTGGACTGTGCGCTCGGCCTCACTCCGCCGCTCTCCTTGCTTCTCTGCGTCTCGGGGTCTCTGCGCCCCGCCCCCGCCCCGCAGACGTGTCCCGGGCGGTTGAGCTCCTCGAGCGGCTCCAGCGCAGCGGGGAGCTGCCCCCGCAGAAGCTGCAGGCCCTCCAGCGAGTCCTGCAGAGCCGCTTCTGCTCCGCTATTCGAGAGGTGAGCGGCGCGCGGCGCAAGGGCGCGAGCTGGTGGCCGCCGTCCTCTTCCTCCTCCTCCTGCTAGTCCCGAGCCCGGGGACTACGCCTCCCGGCAGCTCCCGAGGCGGCCAGCCTTGGGGTGCCCACGCTTCAGCTCAGTGGTTCTTCGGGAGTTGTAGTTTCCTCCGGCTCCGGTTGCGGGGGCGGGGCGGATCCTTGCGTGGCAGCGGGAGAGGGTCTAGGGGCCCGGACTCCTGCGTCTAGGGCTGGAGGAACTGGCAGCTCCCTGATGCCGCTGCCTCCTCACCCAGGTGTATGAGCAGCTTTATGACACGCTGGACATCACTGGCAGCGCCGAAATCCGAGCCCATGCCACAGCCAAGGTGGGCCCCGCACCTCATTGCTCCTGGTGTCTATTTAACTGCCTGGTCGAGCTCAGTATCTCCTTCATGCCAGTCATTTCTGTTTCCTTCCTCATGATTTTTGCTAAATCTATGTGCCACTCTTACCATTATTAAATAATCGCACATTTTTAACTTAAATGTCATACGAAGGCGTCTTTAGCAACTGCAAATGGAAACCAGTGTGGCATGACTGGCTAGAAGATAACCTTCAACATCTGTACAGTGCAAACCAGGGAAGTCATGGCGCTCTGATCTCTCACTGCACAATAGTGAGATGCTACCTCTTGCTGCTGCCCAGAGGCTCGGATCTCCCTCCAAGCCTGGCTTTCATCTGTTTAAAAGTAAGATTGCCGCCAGGCACGGTGACTCACGCCTATAATCCCAACACTTTGGGAGGCCGAGTCAGGTGGCTCACTTGAGGTCAGGAGTTCGAGACCAGCCTGGCCAACATGGTGAAACCCCATCTCTATAGAAATACAAAAAAAAAAACAAAAAAAGCCGATCGTGGTGGCGGGTGCCTGTAATCCCAGCTACTCGGGAGGCTGAGACAGGAGAATCGCTTGAACTCAGGAGGCCGAGGTTGCAGTGAGCCAAGATCATGCCACTGCACTCCAGCCTGGGCAACAGAGCGAGACTTCATCTCAAAAAAAAAAAAAAAAAAAAGATTGGCAAGTATGGGGTATTCAAGACACACACCAAATGGACACTTTCTCTTGCAAGTGAACAGAAAGGGACGCACAGTCATTACAGGGGGATCTTGCATTGTGCCATGGCACGTGTCCCATGTTTGGGGATAGTAACCCAGGCTAAATCGCTGTCCTCGGTTCAGATCCCCCACCCCAGCCTTCTTGCCCACCTGGCAGGGGCCCTCATCTTCAGTCGCTTTCTCTCTCCCAGGCCACAGTGGCTGCCTTCACAGCCAGCGAGGGCCACGCACATCCCAGGGTAGTGGAGCTACCCAAGACGGATGAGGGCCTGGGCTTCAACATCATGGGTGGCAAAGAGCAGAACTCGCCCATCTACATCTCCCGGGTCATCCCGGGGGGTGTGGCTGACCGCCATGGAGGCCTCAAGCGTGGGGACCAACTGTTGTCGGTGAACGGTGTGGTGAGTGGAGGGCTGAGGCAGGACTGCGGGACACAGTCTGTCTAAGGTAGCATAGCCCCTGCTTTTGACATTCACTCAACACACACTGACTGAGCTCTGCCTCTATGGCTAGCCCTGTGCTGGCCAGTGTTACAGACCCTGAGAGATGTTGGTCTCAGCTCCTACACTCAACCTTCCCTCTCTGGGGAGGGCAGTAGGCCTCGGCTGAAATAGTCCTAAGCCAGAGACATAATAATGAGGAACTGCAAAGTACTGTGACAGCCCAGATGTGGCACCAGGCCAACATACATACAGGAAAGTTTTGCAGAGTAAGGAACATTCGGGTTGGGTGTTGAAGGATGAGTAGGAGTTCTCCAGGCAAACAAGGTAAAGGGTGTTCCTGCTGAGGGTACTGTAGATAAGGATAATGACTTGGCATACCTCTGAGCTGAAAAGAAAGGGCTTAGTTCTGAGGGAGGTCTGGGGCATGCAGGTAATTAAAATCACTGTGGTTAGGCAGGCTGTGGTGCCTCACACCTGTAATCCCAGCAATTTGGGAGGCCGAGGCAGGTGGATCACTTGAGGTCAGCAGTTCAAGACCAGCCTGGCCAACATCGTGAAACCCCATCTCTACTAAAAGTACAAAAAATCAGCCGGGCGTGGTGGCAGTCATCTGTAATTCCTGCTACTTGGGAGGCTGAGGCAGGGGAATCACTTGAACCTGGGAGGCAGAGGTTGCAGTGAGCCGAGATAGTGCCACTGCATTCCAGCAAGGGTGACAAGAGTAAGACTCCCTCTCAAAAAAAAAAAAAAAAAAAAAAAAATCACTGTGGTTAGAGTTGAGGAAGGCATAACTGGAGAGGTGGCTGGGGTCAGCCATACAGGACCTGAGTGCCAGCCTGAGAAGCTGGGACTTTGTCCCATGGGTGCTGGGGAGCTATGGGAGGGGTGAGCCAGGGATAAGCTCAGCTTGCAGGTACAGAAGGACCCCTCTGGGACCCTATGGAGATGAACTGAGGGGAGAGACTAGAAGCCAGAAGGCTGGGCTAAGAGTCCAGGGAAAGGGGACAAGGCCTGAGCTGGCCCAGGGCTGTGGGAACAAAGAAGAGAGAGTCAAAGCAGGCAGGCATTAGTGGGCTGTGGGCAGGGAAGCCACAAAGATGGGTCTAGATGTTTGACCAGGGACTGAGGGAACATGGGGCTATCCCTGACATGGGAAACCTGGGAGGTTTTGGAGGAGGACACTGAACCAGGAGTTAATGACTCTCCCACGAGGAGGACATGAGGTGTTGGCATCTCAGGGCTGGCACCAGGCTCACCAGCAGTGGGTCCCATCTCCCAGTGGGGGCTGGGTGAGGGCAGTGGGCCTCAGGCCCAGCTGTCTGTGTTGGGCCCTGCAGAGCGTTGAGGGTGAGCAGCATGAGAAGGCGGTGGAGCTGCTGAAGGCGGCCCAGGGCTCGGTGAAGCTGGTCGTCCGTTACACGCCGCGAGTGCTGGAGGAGATGGAGGCCCGGTTCGAGAAGATGCGCTCTGCCCGCCGGCGCCAGCAGCACCAAAGCTACTCGTGAGTCCCTGGGTCACCACATCTCTGGGGCCTCCACTGGCTCCCTTTAACCCCAGGCTCCCAAACCAGGCCAATTCTTCCTGGACCTTCCGGCCCTGGCCCCTTCTCTGGGATGCTGACCCTTGACCCCTGGCCCAGCCTCTCACCCCAGGCTATTCTGGCCAAATCCCCTGGGGACCCCTTAGCTTCCTTCCATCCCAAGATATGGAACCTACTGTGGCTGGGATCCCTCAGCCCACTTCCCCGGGCCCTTGACTCTGCAACCCCAGTCCTGCCTCTCTCATGACCCGGAGCCCCCCTGATCCCGGGTCCCTTCTCCACCCTCCTTGCAGGTCCTTGGAGTCTCGAGGCTGAAACCACAGATCTGGACGCTCACACGCATTCTCTCCCTGTACAGTATTTATTGTCCCTAGCACTTTATTTAAAGGTCTTTTACCCTCACTGAGTGTCTGTGTGTCTGTCCTGCATCCCTGGGTTGGTGTCTTGAGATGTGGAGGGAATGTGAGGAGCTGAGGTCAGGCCAAGCCCTTGAGAAGCCCTTTTCAGAGTCTGAGGACAGAGGTTGAGACCTCTCCCTAGGTCTGAAGGCGGAGATAGGCCGGCTTCCAAGGGACTAGTCCGAGGGCGGAGGCCGGGACCCAGTCTGGGTCTGAGTGCAGGGGCAGAACTGAGGACAACGTCGCCTACCCTTAAGAGCGTCTGAGGGCGAAGGCCAAGTCCCTTCCTCCAGAGTCCTGAAACGCAGCCGGAGCCAGTGGGCGGCCTCTGTGTGGGCGGGGCGGAGCGAACCATTAGCCTCGTCCGCCGGGGGAACCCTGCAGGCCGCACTACCGTCTGCGTGGGAGTCGCGGATGGGGGTGCCGCGTGCAGTTCCCGAGGCGGGCGCAGGGGTGCAGAATGAGGTGCCCTCGCCCACCGGGCGCTCACTCCACCTTCCAACCAGAGCGCGTCTTTCCGGAAGCTGCCCCCGCCTTGAAATCCAACCTTTAGCCCCATCCCGCTGCCCGCCCAGCCCTCGTGTCCCGTGCGGCGCCAGGGCTAAGGCGCGCCACAGCCGGGAGCCGAGGTCGCGACTCGCGTTCCACGCCGCGCGCTACTCGCTCCAGGTGACATCATCCCCCTGCCGGGCTCCGCCCCCCGCCCCAGCCGCCGCACGCCGCGCGCCTATTGGTCGACGCGCCTTATGCCCCGCCTCTCGCTCTCCGCCCGCGCGACCCCTCCCGGCCGGTGTGGAGGCGGGGTCTAGTCGCCGGCCGGCGCCGACGCTGCCTCCCATTGGCCGCTCATCGCCGTCTGTCAGTCTCCTGTTAAAGGGGCCACGACCGCCCGGGAGCCGTGGGGGGGAGGGGGAGGGAGGAGGAATTTTTTTGGGGGGAAGGTGGGATTTGGGGGGCGCTGGTGGGCACCCTTGGATCTGGCGGCTGCGGCCTCGCAGGGGGAGGCTGATCAGTGACAGGGGCAGGGGGCTATTTTGGGGGTAGAAGGCAGTGAGACCGTGAGGGGGAGGGGGGTCCCCAGCGCCCGAGCCCGAGCCAGAGACGCGGAGCCCGCGCGAGCGTCGGAGACAGGGCTCCAGGGCTCCGAAGCGACAGAGCCGGGCCCCGGCCGCTGCCAGGGGCCCCGCCCGGCCCCTCCACTCCACCCCACGTCCCTCCTGCAGCCCAGCTCCGCCCGCAGCCGCCGCGGACCAGGCAGGTAAGATCCCGGCCCGGCCCTCCTGGCAGCGCCCACCCCGGGGACCCCTTGGCGAGCCTCCCCCGCCTCCCCGAGATCCCGGATTCCCTTCCTCATCCCAGGGGACCCCCGAGCCCAGATTTCACAGCCCAACCCCGGGGACTCAGGCGTGCCCCTCCCGGCGCCCAGAGTCCGCGACCGAACCCTAGAATCCCGGGCGCACCGCCGCCTCGCGCCTCCTCCAGGGCCCAGGAGCTTGGATTTCCCGGTCCGGCCCCGGGACCCCTCTCGAGCCTAGATCCCCCTTCCTGACCCTGTCCTGGGAGCTCCAGACACCCGCCGCGGCGGTCCCAGACTCCCCAGGCGCGTCCGCATAGTCCCCGCTTCGCGCACCCAGTCTCCCGTCGCCAGCCTCGGGCTTGCACAGCCGGTCGCTTCCCTCGGTCCAGGCAGGCTCGGCGGCCGCCCTGGACACAGGCCCGCTCTGGAGCTGTCCATGGTCAGCGCGCTCGGCAGCCTCGCCTCCCCCCACCGCCCGCCGCCGCCACCAGGGAGGGGGTGCAGGCGGCGCGGGGATCTCCCCCGCCGCGCCTTTGACCCGGGAATACCCGGGCCCTCCCCGACCCGGGCGCCCCGGCCTCAGGGTTCCGCCGGCCAGGCTCGTGGCCCGGTCCTCGGCACCCCAGGTTCCTGGGACTCCAGCTGCTCCCTGAGGAGCCAGGGCTTCTGAATTTTTCTGTTCTGGTCGCCGTGGGGACCATGGCACCCGGGCATGCAGCTCCCACCTGTCCGTCCCTACACCTCTGCTGGCCCCAGGTGGTAGCCCTCACCCCGTCAGAACCTAGGAATCCTGTTCCCCAGCGTTTGCTCTGCTTCTCAGCCCCTGTGCCCTGCAGACACACAGACTCAACCTCCTGGCACCCAGCATCTGCTCCCTGAGGGACTCAGGCGCCATGACTCGCTTCCTTTGGGGGACCCGGAATGTGATTCTTAATGCAGTTCTCTGACTTCTGACTTCTGTTCACACTCCCCGCTTGGGGACCTAAATGTCCTGGTCCCAGTCTTGTATACCCTCAGGGTCCCAGGAGTTCAGACCCCAGCTTCTGTACTGCCCACCAGCTTTTACCGAGGCTGTCTGCCTCAACCCTCTCTCCAAACAAGACCTCAGGCTCTCAGCTTCCAATCCCCCATCATTTACCTCCACATGGATTCAGGAGTCTAGGCTCCCAGCTCTGTCCACTGCCCTCCCCAGCAGTTATCTGGTTCTTCAGCTCTCACTTTTAGGAACCAAGTCTTCACAGCCTCATCACTCTGCCCCATCAACTTCACATCTCCCGTGGCCTTAACAAACCCCTGTCTCATCCTCATGTCACCCCAAGTGGTGGGCTTCAGGACTCTCTCTCCTAAGACGCAGCTTCTTGAGATGTTTCTAGCACTCCATTGCCCCCTGAGGCTCAGATGAGTTCCCATTCTCCAAGTACACTCTCCCAGGCCAATAAGCCAAACACACATCACTTCCTCCAGATATATTCTGTGGCCTGGGCTCATAGAAGTTACCTGCTGCCATACAAATTTCTTTCTTTCTTTTCTTTTTTTTTTCTTTTTTTCTTTTTTTTTTTTTTTTTGAGACAAGGTCTCCGTTGCCCAGGCTGGAGTGCTGTGGCACAATCACCGCTCACTGCAGCCTCCACCTGCTGGGCTCAGGTGATCCTCCCACCTTAGCCTCCTGAGTAGCTGGGACCGCAGGCATGCACCACCAGGCCTGGCTAATTAAAAAAAAATATTTTTGGCCAGGTGTGGTGGCTCATGCCGGTAATCCCAGCACTTCGGGAGGCTGAAGTGGGCGGATCACCTGAGGTCAGGATTTTGAGACCAGCCTGGACAACATAGAGAAACCCTGTCTCTACCAAAAATACAAAATTAGCCAGGTGTGGTGGCACATGCCTGTAATCCTAGCTACTCAGGAGGCTGAGGCAGGAGAGAGTCGCTTGAACCCAGGGGGTGGAGGTTGCATTGAGCTGAGATCGAGTCATTGCACTCCAGCCTGAGCAACAAGAGTGAAACTCCGTCTCATTTTTTTTTTTTTTTTTGGTAGAGATGGGGGTTTCACCATGTTGCCCAGACTGGTCTGAAACTCCTAGGCTCAAGCGATCCTTCTCCCTCGGCTCCCCAAAGTGCTGGGATTACAGGCATGGCCACTGCGCCCAGCCCGGTCACATTTCTTGTTGCACATGTGCTCTTGCTTTGCTCCATGTTCTAGATTCCTTCTAAACACAAGAACACTCCCGGTTGATGTCTGTTCTGTGTTCCATTTTCATTCCAGGCATGGTCTGAGTTCTAGGCCAGATGCCAAATTCTAGGCATGTCTTTTCTTTTTTTTTTTGAGACGGAGTTTTGTTCTTGTCGCCCAGGCTGGAGTGCAATGGCACAATCTTGACTCACCACAACCCCCCCCCCCGTTTCAAGTGATTCTCCTGCTTCAGCCTCCTGAGTAGCTGGGATTACAGGGGCCCGCCACCAAGCCCGGCTAATTTTTTGTATTTTTAGTAGAGACGGGGTTTCTCCATGTTGGTCAGACTGGTCTCAAACTCCCAACCTCAGGTGATCGCCCGCCTCGGCCTCCCGAAGTGCTGGGATTATAGGCGTGAGCCACTGTGCCCAGCCTTTGTTTTTTCAAATGTTTAGATAAGACCCCTAAGCCAGATTCTGATCCCACCGTATCCTCAGACCTGCTCCAAAGTTTTAGCAATCAGTCCTTCCTTCTTTGCTAAATGTTCATTTCAAGTGTGTTCCCAGTTTCAGCCACATTGTTCTAGATTCCATTCTCTTCCCAGGGACAATCTAACTTCTAAAATGTGTGTGTTCCAAGTATGTGCTCTAGGCTTCCTAATTCGTGCTATTGATTCTAGAATGCCCTCCCCTGTTTCCCTGTTTTAGGTTCTAAGTTCTATCTAATTGCACATTCTTTTTTGTTGTTGTTTAGCTTTTTTTTTTTTTTTTTTTTTTTGAGACGGAGTCTCACTCTGTGGCTCAGGCTGGAGTGCAGTGGCTCCATCTCAGCTCACTGCAAGCTCTGCCTCCCGGGTTCACGCCATTCTCCTGCCTCAGCCTCCCGAGTAGCTGGGGCTACAGGCGCCCGCCACCTTGCCCGGCTAATTTTTCATATTTTTAGTAGAGATGGAGTTTCACCGTGTTAGCCAGGATGGTCTCCATCTCCTTATCTCGTGATCCACCGGCCTCAGCCTCCCAAAGTGCTAGGATTACACGCGTAAGCCACTGTGCCCGGCCTGTTGTTTAGTTTTTATTTTATTTTTGAGATGGTGTCTTGCTCTGTGACCCAGGCTGGAGTGCAGTGGTGTGATCTCAGCTCACTGCAACCTCTGCCTCATGGTTCAAGCAATTCTCCTGCCTCAGCCTCCCAAGTAGCTGGGACTACAGGCACATGCCACCACGCCTGGCTAGTTATTTTTGTATTTTTAGTAGAGATAGGGTTTCACTATGTTGGCCAGGCTGGTCTCAAACTCCTGACCTCAAGTGATCCCTCTCCTGCCTCCCAAAGTGCTAGGATTACAGGCGTGAACCACCGTGCCTGGCCTGTTATTGTTGTTTAGACATTGGGTCTCATGTTACTGAGGCTCATCTCGAGTGAAGCGATCCTCCCACCTTGGCCTTCCAAAGTGCTGGAATTACAAGCATGAGCCACTGTGCCTGACCCTAAATTCACTTTTTTTTCTTTTGAGACTGAGTCTCACTTTGTCGCCCAGGCTGGAGTGCAGTGGCGCAATCTCGGCTCACTGCAACCTCCGCCTCCCAGGTTCAAGCAAGTTCTCCTGCCTCAGCCCCCCGAGTAGCTGGGATTACAGGTGTGTACCACCACGTGGTGGTGCACGCCTGGCTAATATTTGTGTTTTTAGTAGAGACGGGGTTTCACCATGTTGGCCAGGCTGGTCTCGAAATCCTGACCTCAAATGATCCACCCGGCTCAGCCTCCCAAAATGCTGGGATTACAGGAATGAACCACCGCACCCGGCCTCATATTCTTAAATGTAAAAGATTCCCAATGAAATGTTCTACATAATGTTTTCCTTCCCCCGGTTCTAGGTTCTAGGCCCATTCATTTTCTGTCATTTTTTCCCCAGTGCAGCCTTAGTTTAGAACTTGTCCCCTGGTGGATCGTGGGTTTTATCCTCCATCTGCCACTTTGGCATTCTAAGCTTGTTCTAGGCTCTCTCTTATTCTGGAGCCTTCAGCCTGGAAATGTCCTTATTTCCAGAACAACCCCCCTCCTTTGCCAGCTCAGTCTTTATTCCAGGAAATGCTCAATTCTCAACATGCATCCTTTTGATCCCTCCCCCTCCCCACCCCATAGACACTTCTAAGCTCCAAGCAAACTCTTAGACACATGACAAAACCAAGGATGTGACTCCTGCTGCTATATTATTTTTTAAAAATGTAATTAAATTTTAAAAATCCATTTATTTATTTATTTCAAGACCGGGTTATGAGACTGGTTAATTTTTGTATTTTTTTTTTTTTTTTTGTACAAATGGGGTTTCACCATGTTTCCCAGGCTGGTCTCGAACCCCTGGGCTCAAGTGATCCTCCCACCTCGGCCTCCCAAAGTGCTGGGATTACAGCCGTGAGCCACTGCGCCCGGGCCCCTGCTGTATTCTGTGTTATACCTTCATCCCTAGCAGGTTCTGAGTTCTAGATTTTATCTGCTGACTATGTTTGCTATGTATTGCATAAGGTATATTCATGGATGTCATTATGTATGTGGGGTTCCGGGGTGACCTGGACACTAAGTTATTGGGTTGCTCTTGGCTGGTTCTAGATTGTAGGTTTCAGAACATAGTTCCAGATTACTCTGCTTAGTCCTATGAGCAGTTCTTACTCCAAGCCAATGAAAGCGTGGAAGCATACTTCTATTCCCCACCCTGTACTGTGTGTAGTAACTTTCTAGGTTCTATGTCCAGCCTTGCTGTGTTTTTTATTTCCTTCTCGGTGAATTTAAGGCTCTGGAACAGCCTCCCTAAAACATCTGTGTTGCATCGTCTGAGTGGGTTGCTGGTTTTAGATACCATATTGGGGCTGCGCGAGGTGGCTCATGCCTTTAATCCCAGCACTTTGGGAGGCCGAGGCAGGCAGGATCACGAGGTCAGGAGATTTAGCCCATCCTGGCTAACACGGTGAAACCCCGTCTCTACTAAAAATAATAATAATAATAATTAGCCGAGCGTGGCAGCACGAGCCTGTAGTCCCAGTTACTCGGGAAGCTGAGGCAGGAGAATCGCTTGAACCCGGGAGGCAGAGGTTGCAGTGAGCCGAGATCGCGCCAGTGCACTCCAGCCTGGGCGATAGAGTGAGACTCCGTCTCAAAAAAAAAAAAAAGAACATGTTGGTTTTTGGCCTACGGCTGGCTTGCCCTCTTAGAATCGTTTTCCTGAATCTTTCCTCTGAGTGTGGGATTCGCCTGCCTAGATTCTCAGATGCACCACTTCAAACATCCAAGGAGACAGGAACCCAGCTGCCTCCTCTCCCAGGGCCCACGGCCCTCAGGCCCTCCTCTCCTCACAGGAGTCCAAGGCCCCAGTCCCAGGCTTTGGACATAGTCCGCATACTGGGCGGGGCTGGGAATTATCCACGGTCAGAACCGGTTATGCGCTGCCCGCAGGGGGAGAAGGAAAAGAAGGAACTGAGTGAAAGTCCCTCCTGCTTTCGGCCGGGCCAGCTGGACCCGTCGGACCTGATGTGTGTGAAGGGAGCGGTTCAGTGGGCCTGGCTTCATCTCCGCCCTGTCCCAAGTTCCAGGCACCCAAGTCCCGCCTTCCTGCCCCAGAAACCCCGCCCCTTCCTTGTCCCCCGCCCTTGGGTATAGCCCCAAGAGGGCTGGGGCTGGAGTTGGGGGAAGCATCCCGGAACTCCTGGGTCCTGGCGGAGGAGCTATGCACCCAG